TGCAGATCAACAATCTTGTCCCTGATGTCCGTAGAAAGCTCTTTGGTCTTGCCCATGGTGCTGATGTTGGATGCTGGTTGTTTGGGTGTTGACAGGTGTCTTTTATACAGGTAACGAGGTGAGGCAGGTGTATTTGATGTAGATAATTGGTTGGGACTGGGGCTGTGTCTTAAAGAAAGACTAACTGGCTTGTAGGAGCCAGAATACTTGCTGTTTGGTAGGGGGTCATATACATGTTTTTCCTCATCAGATGGTTATCAATTTTTATAAATTCATATGATGTGATTTTCTGGAATTTTCTTTGGGATTCTGTCTTTCACTGTTAGAATGTACATATGATTAAAATTGTAGATTGTTGCATTCTTTGTAAGTGGGCAAACCTGCAAAATCAGCAAGGGGTCAAATACTTATTTCCCCCACTGTATACTAACGTTGAAATGTCTTTCTCATAACACACACCTACATCACCACATTTGTAAAAGTAACTTACAGTCAAACATCAACTGCAGACACATGATAATCACACAAACAGATTAGATACAAGGTAAAGATAACGTTAAGTTAGCTGTAAACATAGTATAACAATAAACCTAGATGGTGAATAACTAAACCGGTGCAGTCTAAACTTTAACATTGTCTTACCTAATGTTAGCGTCGGAAAGCTCACCTACAGCTAGATAGAATTCATCGTCTCTACTTTGGCTCCTACACCAGCCTGCACTCGTAGCTACCGTTACCTCTACGCGTAGGTAGCTACGTTTGCTAGCGATGAAAGTAACCATCAAAATGATAAAAGCCAGATTACCTGTCCAGCAGAAATAAAGCCACCACGCTGCGTCAGCCCCTCGGTGTTCCTCAGTTGTCACTATCGTTGAAAAGCCACGCAGATATCACCCACCGATCTGACCGCTTTGCTTGTCAGGTCTGAGCTGAGCGGGTGCGCGAACGGTGGCAGCTCCTGTAGCAGCAGGGCTGGTAGCCATGGCAGCGAGGGAGAGTGACAGTCAGCCAGCCAATCATTGCATTAGGTCCGAATGAAACGAGTTGCTGTGTTTACTGCAGCCCTGAGAGGACTACAGACAGACGATTTTTATACTCTCTTTTTCAGAGCACCTAACTTTTTAATATGCATTGATGTATATAGACAGTTTCAACAAATATGACAAAAAGTGTTTTTGAAGCAACTTGCCTACCCTGCCTTTAAGTTAAAGGTTCAGTGTGTAGTAATTAGGAGGACCTATTTACAGAAATGCAACATAATATACATAACTACACACACAGGCCACTTTATTAGGTACACCTGTTCAATTGTTTGTTAACACAAATAGCTATCAGCCAATCACATGGCAGCAACTCAATGCCTTTAGGCATGTAGACGTGGTCAAGACAACTTGCTGAAGTTCAAACTGAGCATCAGAATGGGGAAGAAAGGGGATTTAAGTGACTTTGAACGTGGCATGGTTGTTGGTGCCAGACGGGCTGCTCTGAGTATTTCAGAAACTGCTGATCTACTGGGATTTTCACACACAGCCATCTCTAGGGTTTACAGAGAATGGTCCGAAGAAGAGGAAATATCCAGTGAGCGGCAGTTGTGTGGATGAAAACACCTTGTTGATGTCGGAGGTCAGAGGAGAATGGGCAGACTGGTTCCAGATGACAGAAAGGCAACACTAACTCAAATAATCACTCATTACAACCAAGGTGTGCAGAACACCATCTCTGAACGCACAACACGGCTACACCTACAGCAGCAGAGGACCACACCGGGGGCCCCTCCTGTCAGCTAAGAACAGGAAACTGAGGCTAAAAGTCACACAGGCTCACCAAAACTGGACAACAGAAGATTTAAAAATGTTGCCTGGTCTGACGAGTCTGGATTTCAGCTGCGGCATTCAGATGGTAGGGTCAGAGTTTGGCGTAAACAACATGAAAGCATGGATCCATCCTGCCTTGTATCAACAGTTCAGGCTGTTGGTGGTGGTGTAATGATGTGGGGGATATTTTCTTGGCACACTTTGTTTAAACGCGACAGCCTCCCTGAGTATTGTTGCTGACCACGTCCATCCCTTTCTGACCACAGTGTACCATCTTCTGATGGCTGCTTCCAGCAGGATAATGCTCCATGTCACAAAGCTCAAATCATCTCAAACTGGTTTCTTGAACATGACAATGAGTTGACTGCACTCCAGTGGCCTCCACAGTCACCAGATCTCAATCCAATAGAGCCCCTTTGGGATGTGGTGGAACAGGAGATTCTCATCATGGATGTGCAGCTCCCTAATCTGCAGCAACTGCGTGATGCTATCATTTCAATATGCAGCAAAGTCTCTCAAGAATATTTCCAACACCTTGTTGAAAGTATGCCACGAAGGATTAAGGCAATTCTGAAGAAAAAAGGGGGTCCAACTCAGTACTAGCAAGGAGTACCTAATAAGTGGCCGGTGAGTGTATGTTTTCAGTGGTGTTTAAAGACCTTACATAATGAACCGTTACGTTTTTATTACCTTAAATGAGCCATTTCTATCTACAGTACATAACAGCGGGTTTACTTCATACACAGGATATTACTGGACGAAACGACCGTGTGGATTTGAATGGAGAGCAGTGAAGTCAGTTTTGGTCCTATGAAATACTACCACAGGGCTACTTCCTTGGCACCAGCGTCTACTGCGCATGATCGCACTGCATAAGCGTGGTTTAATGATGTAGAGCAATGTCAGAAACTCAGATCATCACTGTTTAATCCGCCCACCTACAAGGCTCACCTGCCAAACACCAACGTAGTGTCACTGATGGCCGAATAGGTTCTTTAGATTTGCAGAGAATTTATAATCTAACCAATATGGTTACATCTCTCAAGTGCAACGGGGTGTCGCAAGGTTTTGATGTCATTTTGGGGCACACATTGAGCCCTCCATGCGGTCTTTGGTCGGCTTGACTGCTCAATCTCTGGCTTACCCCCTTGGTCCCCTTGCATGGACATCACCATGTTTCTACAGTGGCCCAAATGAACAAACTACTCTACAGAACGCGTTTGGGCACTATGTTGAATATGTAGTAGAAGCAGCAGCAGAAGAATTAGTAGTAATGGTAGTAGTAGCAGTCGTGGTCTGGTTTGTTAGAAGTAAGAAAACAAAACAAAACAAATTTGGACAAGAGTCGGCCACAGCAGCTTCTCCTGCACGCTTGCAAAGGGAGGGGTGAGTGGTGTCATAATAATCGGAAATTTCCCCTCCTTAAATCTTTATTGCAAAAATAGGGAAGAGAAAAGTGTACATGGGACATAAAGAAGTATACAGAACAGTGAAAATATATAAGATGACAAAAACTTTGGGGGAGTCTATATTATATAAATATATTAAAAAAGGACCATATGTTGACAGTTTTCACAGCCTTTTTGTGGTTGGATTTAGAAATGAAATTGATATAATGTACAACCTTGTGAAGAAAAGGTACAGTTAGGTTTTTTTTTACTGCTGAATTTTACAATAGCCATCAGAATTAACACATTATATAGTACTTATTTCATCGGAGGAGCAAGTGAAAGCACAGTGAGCTGCTGGTTGCAATTTGCAAACCTCACCACTTGATGCCGCTAAAACTTACACACTGAACCTTTAAATAAGTAACAAGAAATGTCTCAGACATCATTAGGGAGGTTTCTCTGCAAAAAAGTCTTACCAAAATTAATATTAACTTCTTTTTTGTATTATATTATTTTCTGATGTAATTTAGTTAAATTAACTGGTCTGACTGACTGTTTAAACATTGTAATTACAAAAAAAAAAAAAAAAAAAAAAGGTCCATCAGGTGTTCTTTAAGGTGTGGTCTTCAATCGGGCATAAAATTGAATGTTAATAGGATACTATTGGCAAAACAAAACAGGAACCACATGAACATCCACAAACAATGTCATGCAGGTCGTTCCTCCTTCATTCAGTGAACGGAGCGAGACTTTCCCCCCGGGACTTGACCGCACCTTTATTGTACTCTTGCCGCGTCCGCGTCACGGACCCCAATCACATTTCCCTCCACTGCACGTTATGACAGTAATTTAATTCGACATCTCGTCCGCAGCTAAATTTCAACACAGTCGAATCATTATACATATGATAATACTGCAAGTCGGCGCACAGCTTAAGAATACAGCATGTCAACAATGACAGCGCACAGTGTGAATGGATTACTCCTGACAGAGCGAACCCTTCCAAACATGTCCAACGAATAACTGCGACATTATTAATCTCAAGCCCTTTTATGATTCAGTGATGTAACACCATGAACGAACCGCGCTAAGGTGTCACGTACATTAACATCTAGCCCGTAAACTGTGGTGAAGCGGTCTGGCTAGTAACGTTACGGCGTTACCTCTTTCCAGGCAGAGCGGCTCTGTCATGGCCGCCATGTCTGCTTCCTTGGCAGGGTGGTAGTATGAGGACATCATTATGAATCCTCCGCGTCCAGGCTTATCCCCTAATTAACACTGTGTACACGGGCAGAAAATCCAGTTCACAGCAATGCCTGGTCCATCTTCTATGACGACATGGCCTGCAGACCGGAGATGAGTAGATGACCGAGGGCCGAGAAGCTGGACTAACCACCAGGCAGCACGACCAGACGGCGCAGCTTCACTGTCCGACTGTATAATGAGCAGTTTCAGCATCTTCTACGTAAGTTCAAAGTACTCCTACTGCGCAGATTTAAAGCAGAGGCGCGTATAACTATAGGTGATGTATTTTAATACAATTTCCCATATCCGGTCAGTATTTAAAATTGGTGAAAAACAAACTAAGCAATCATTGCTCTACTACTTTCGCTGTTTTGTTACATTTATCTATCCATTTTTATACCCCAGTTAATACATACCCTGTAACTTTACACTGCTGATGACCCTTTTTCACAAATGTATCAGGTAACTTTTGTATATGCTTGACACTGGTGAAAGTCACAGGAGACTTGACATTAAATTGGCCCTGCAAATCTAACATACAAACAGCAGGCATAATTAAAAATGTTTTATTCAAGAATGAATAAACAGAACAGCCCTCAATTCTTTCACAATACTACATTTCCTTCAATTTCACAAACATTGAGCAGAAACTGGTCACTGGGTCCAATAAGCATAGAATCTAACTGCTTTATGAATCTGGAAATAATAAGACAACACAATTTACCCATCTAAAAAACAAATAGCGCTCTGTTTTTACAGTTAATCCAAAACCAAGTGGGGGGGAACAAAAACATACCTAGCTTGAATAACTAAGGTAATCTGATAACATTTAGTGGCACGGATTAGTTGGGCACTGCAGAAAAGCTGCAACTTTTGTGAGATCAAATCAGTTATATGCATCAACTGTGCATGCAACAATATCAAGTGAAATATGTCAGATTCTTGACAGATGGGAGAGAAGCTAGTTAAAGATCGGTACTGAGGAAGCCCCGACATCATTTAGGCTTCCTGTACCTTGGCAGAAAGTTAAAGGCCAAGTTAAAGTATAGAATGAAACAACTTATTTATGAGTGGGAATCTGCTGGGAGAGGGGCCATCTCAGTACTCGTCTCCTGGTGCCTCCATCTTGTAACCATTCTCACTGGAGCCATAGCCGTCAGCTGATGGCACTGACTGCTGGTCCATCATCCCATCCTGACTGTACTCCTCCATGTGTGGTGGTGCTCCTCCCTCATCCTCGTTGCCCATGTCATCTTGGGGGCCCATGTCGTCTCGTAGGGAGCCATGTCGCTCCTCTCTGCGGTCCCCCCTGTCTCTCTCCCCTCGCTCCCTTTTATGCTCCCTGTCTCTGTCCCGGTCTCCCCTGCGCCTGTCTCTGTCCCTGTGGCTGCGCCTGCGGTCCCTGTCCCTTTCTCTGTCCCTGTCTCTACGCTCCTCCGTGCCCTCGCCCACTTCTCCCTCATGTTCCTCCAGCATGCGCTCTCCGCCCTCAGGGGCAACGTCTCCCTGGCTGACCTCCTCCCCATCCAACCCCTTGCCTCGCTCCCTGTCTCGCTTGCGATCTCGGCTCCTGCTCCTTCTCTTCCTTTCCCGACTCCTCTCCCTACTCCTGCTGTCTCCTCCTGCTGCCCCCCCGCGTTCCTTCTCTCTGTCGCGACGCCGGGCACTAACGGGGGTTTCCTCAGCTGTTCCAACTGGCCTCTCTCTCTCCCTCTCTCGGGAGCGGGTACGTCGACGCCGTTCGCGGGATCGGGTCCGTCTGCGTTCCCTGTCCTTGTCCCGGTCACGCTCCCGGCTGCGCTCCCTCCGTTCTCCTCCACGCTCCCGATCACTAAGAGTAGTAAGGACAAAGTGAAGTGTGTTATACACAGCGGTACACAATCTTATGCCAAACAACAGATATTCTCTGAAAGTTCTCACCCCCCCAGGGGGCGATCATCATAACGTGATGCATCATCGCGGCCAGAGTGCTTGATGTTAACATCAGCTCCACCTCTCCTAGTGCCACCCAATCCACCACCTAAGAAAAAAAAAAGCAAAAGCATAAGAAAGTCAAATGTGTTAAGTGAGGACGCTCAGACTTTGTCATCAGTTAGAGACAGAACACTGACAGCAACCTGTCCAACTGTGCACCCCTTAGACCTGCAGTCAGGCTGTGTTCAAAAAGGGTTCTACGCTAACCTTTTTCCCCCCAAGGAGCACACCATGAAAAAATTTAAGAGCACACTGAAAAACGTTCAAGTAACGCAAAGTTTAACTATTTATTATATACATATTTATATGTATGCTCCTTGTGTTCAACCACAATGTGAAACCATTGGGAGGACTGAAAGTGAAGACCCTTGTATCGGTACACTCGGCATTGGCCTTAAGATATTGTCAAATTGTTTTAAAATATTGAAACAGATGTTTTGAAAAATTTGACATTTAAAAGAGCTTTTAAGAGACTGATTAGTCATCACAAACAAACTTTACTGTGATTGGTGCTTGTGTAGTTTTAGAACCAGGGTTGCATTCACGATACACCAGCAGCCACCCACCCCAATGTAAACAAGACTACTGGCCAGTGTTACAATGACTTTAGTAAAAACAGAACAAGGGGAACATGTTGCTCTCAGGAGGAGCACATATTGGCACAATGGCATCTGTCTGCTACAGGAGCTCTGTCCACATCCTGGAGGAAGAACTAGTAGAAATGAGTATTAGTATAATATAACATTATGTTAAGAGTATATTGTTAATATAATAGTAAATTGTTATTTTGATATTAATAATTATAGGATGTTACTATATTTCATTATAATTTCATATAATAGTACAGCATATAGCTTACCACTTAATTCCAGTTACAGCTGGCTCAGTTTGGGGTTGTTTTTTTATTCATTAACTTTGTGCAAGAAAAATGTTCTACATGGTAGTTAGTCTCCAACTTAATTTTAAGTAGGCTACTAATTCAATAGTCAACTATTTATGCAGAACAATGAGGTCAGCATTTCAAATGTTTGCTGTAGCACTCACTTTAAAAAAAAAAAAAAAAAAAATAGAAAGTCCCGCTCCATCCAGGCTGTGATGTGGCAAAAAGGGACACTGAAGAGCGCATCGGCTTTATGAAGAGTCAAACATATTTCAATAAAAGAGGCACAGATGTAGCTAAATAGCCAGCTAACATTAGCCAAACCCAAACGCTGCTTATATTTTCCCTGTCGTCTTCTGTCTTACCACTTCACCTGCTGACAGCATATCTTGCTCTTGAGTAACGGGGCTGTTCAAGCAGCCACAGAGCTCAGTCTGACTATGTTTAATGATTAGCATCGGAAGTCTGGCGTGGTGTAAGATCTATTTTTAGGGGCTGTATGAGATTGAAAGCCTTGCTTGGTAGATACATGCACCTAACGTTAGAAGACGTTACGTCCTGCCTATTTAGTAATTTTGGCTATGCAATATAATATGTTCATCCACACTTAGCAAACAGACTTTGGACAAAAAGGATGTTCACATTGACAAAAATATATACAAAATTTAATACCTTGTTAAATGGCAATTAAGACTAATACTTTTTAATGGCCTTAATTTTCGCAAAATTAATTTATTACCTTAAGACTTTAACTGCATGTAATTACTACATTGGATAATTACAAATACTTTGCTTTAAAAAGTACAAAGTAGTCAGTGAAAAAAATCTTATCTTATCCTATTCGTTTTATTCGCATTGGAGCCCTCAATTGTAAAAAGGTTCCTAGAGATTCCCACTCAGAGAGATCGGAATAAAGACAGGATAATCAAAATCAAATCGTGAGACCAGTGAAGATTCACACCCCTACATTTTAGCAGATTCCACGATATTCCGCGTTTAACAGCCGATTTCATTTTTATTATCAAATTCTGCATTCCTGTATCGCAGAATTCTTAGTGCCCTATTAATTATATGTAAGATGTTAAAGAAAAACAGTACAGTTTGAACTTGGGCTGAAACAATTCAATTAAATCGATAAAATTGATTCATAAAATGCTTAGACACAAATTCTTTGCATCAATGCTTCGTTTTAATCCATATAACTATACAGCACAGTGTTCCGCAGGGACATTTATTACCGTCGCACATCGCGTTTACGCTGTGAACACGACGTGATTATGATGGAGCTGTTTGCAAAGTGGGGGAAGAGAGAGAAAACAGTGAGGGACAAAAGAAGAAAGTGTCCAAAGTATGGGATTATTTCAAGCTAAAGAAAACAACTCTGTAATGTTACTGTCCGTCCACCGTAAAATGAAACTTTTGTCATCAGAAAGCAGCCAGTGTTCTGCCAGCGGACCACAGACAAGGTAACAGCAACTTTAGCATTCAACTAAAATCATGATTGATTGTTGAGTTGAAGGCTAGCCAAAGTAAGCCGCCGCCAAGCAAAAGTACTTCATCATCGTTGGCTGCAGCCCTAGTTTGAACTGCTCTATATGAAAGTGCAATGACATCTACACACGGCTTAATTTTTAACAGTACTGTTTAGACAGCTCTGGTTCCATCGCCCATTTACTTGTTTTGGTTGAGTTCTGTTTATTGGTTTGGTGGAGGGTAGGTTAGTCTTTATGTTCAAATGAGAACTTAGCATACAGCCTTGAAGTTTAATATTAGAAAGAAAAAAAGGCAGCTCACCGAGCCTGCGAGGATGCCATCCTTTGACAGTGCGCCCTCGTTCCACGTCCACCAACACCCTTCTACCATCAATCTTCTTCCCATCTGCGTGCTTGTAGGCGGCTGGAGAGGAGGAATGGGGAGAGGGAAGACAGAGGTGAGATAGGAGCAGGACTGCATCAGTGGCCAAGGAAACAAACAGTGCATTAATATACTGACCAGGAGCAGGCGAGGCCGAGATGGCTGCTCTCTGGGCAAAAGCCGAAGGATAATGGGAGTAGACTTTCTTCCACCCGATGAGTGACTCATACGTTACATTTATATCTGCATCATTTTACTACCCAGCTTTCAATAACAGTGGTGTTGCAAAGTGTCCACTGTAGTCACTTGGTAAATGCTCAATCTCTAACACAGGCATGCCACATTGTCTTACATCAGCTCTTTACAGTGCATTTACTAAATTTAACATGACCCGCTGGGGCAGTGGACATCTCATCTACAATTCAAAGCACTGCTGTCAGCATAATTGTATGTAGTGTTATTTACTATCTGAGACACGCAACTGATTTTCCAGTTTGCCAACAGTTGAAATGTTACGTCTGAAAAATCACTGTGCGAGGCGTTTTGCTTCAAGGTTCCTGATTTTGACGTTTAATATCTTACTAATGCTTACTAAATTAGTGATTATGCACACACACTCTCACACACGCACTATTAACAGTACAAGATTTTTAAACATTATATGACAGTAGACTGTTCTGTTGAAGTGGCTTTAATCTGTTGAAACCTTTTACAAGCTTCAAGAGAGCAACATGATGGAAACCACCAAGAGTAAGGCACTTTCATCAACAAGGAGTCTCTAGCATTTGGCAAATTCCCAACCTCATGTACATTGAGACTTTGTCCCACACCTCATCCCATTATGCCACACAACAGTCTTTTGATCCATCTTGTATGATGGAAGTACTTGGCAAGTTCCAGGCGGCTCATCCTGGCTGCTACACTGGTCTGATGAGGTGGTGATCCCTGAGGGTAAAGCTTCCAAGTCCAAGAAGAGGGCCTTACCAAAACCCATCAGTTATAGCACACAGTCTGAGGGCCTTACCAAATCCTCACATATACATTCTGAGGGCCTTACCAAATCCTCACATATTCACTCTGAGGGCCTTACCAAACTCCCTCACTCATACTATACAGTTGATGGTCTTACCACAGTCCCTCACTCATTTGCCTAATGAAAGTCTCTGCCCCAGTCTTAGGGCCTTACCAAAATCCCTCAGCATCAGAATCCTGTCACAACACCTCTACCAGGGGCCTTACCAGAACCCGTCCACTTCCTGTGTTCACGAAGGATGACAACATCCCATCCAATGATAGGGCCTTACCAAACCCCCACCAGTCCTACCAAAACTGACCAACTGAAAAAAGAAAACAAAAAAAAAAAAAAAAAAAAAAAAAAAAAGAAGAGAAACGGGACTACCTTCCTTACAGGAGTTGCCTTATCACAACCCCTACGAACTAATGAGAAAGAAACTTAAAATTTTGACCAAGAATTCAATGAAGTCATGTTTCTATCACTGACATGTCTTAGATGTAAGTGGCCTGAAACAAACTGATTTACGGCATCCAGTGTCTAAACTTTAGTGACCTGTCATGAGCTGAAACTGTAGGAACTACCGTGAAAATCTTGCCCTTACTGGTGTTATGAATTCATCTTTAAAGCTATGTTAATTAGTGTCTACCTTTAGTTATGTAGTGAATAAGTAATGTATGAAGAGCCCATTTAGCAGGATTACCAAGAAAATTCCCCTCATCTGCCTTTTCCATTAAAGCCAGCTCAGACGTATTAGTTGGACAATCCTAACAGTTAATGCCCAGCTTCCATTACTTACATCTTGTAGTTCCTTTTTAATTGGTACTGATATTTAGCAGACCACTTGAGCCTGGCAGATATGATGAGGTGTTAATTCTCAACTAAACCAGCTGACAGTGACAGAATTGGCAGGTAACTGCAGAGAGGCACAGAATTCTAACGAACCTTTGACGAACACATTTGTTTCTGAATTTGCTGACAAAAATCATACTGTAACTTGTGAACATAATTTTTACTTCTAATAAAAGTATTTCTGCATTATGATGATTGCTAAATTCTTTAGACGCGCCTTTCCTGCTGACAGGTTTACACATTACTGCAATGGTTTTGCTACGCAACAAGAAAGACTGAAAACTGCATCACTATCTTCCTGAAAAGCTGCGACAGATTCAGTGAATCTGCACAGCATTAATCACAACAAACTCCACAAGATGCTGGTGGGGCTGACTGCAGTGGAACAACGCATTTGGATTGATGTTTCTTGTTCGGTGACCTTGTGTCCCTCCATGCAGCTAAGTCATTGCTATTGCAAAGCTTGAGCCCTCAGTAACTCGAGGTGGCTTTAACATAAAGGGCTGAATCATTGGGAAACATTTCATACACTAGTCGTCAGGGGTGCGTTCAATGGTCAAAGCCTAAGATCCTACTAGTAACTACTGAAAGCTCTTTAGGGCTTGCAAAAAAAGACGCTTTACCCATTGAACGTAGCTCCTCTTCCCTATGTAGGAGATGGAGGGTGGAAAGAAATCTTACCCATCATACAAACCCATTATACCAACCATATACTGAGCTGTGGTAGTAGGGTGTAGATGTATCATAACCATCATCATCTGCCAGCCAGCTCTGGCCAATAGCCATCACAGATTGGCGGCTGCAGTGGCAATGAGAACAACACACAGTTAATATACTGTTTAGCCCCACATTCCCCCCCAGTTTACCCCCTGCTGTGACTACATGCTTCCTGTGATTCAGCAACTCTGGTCTTGAAGAGTTGATCGCACCAGTATCCCAGAATGGTGTCATTGTGTTAGATGGCACCATTCACTTGTCTAAATGAGACAGTACTCCATTTTTCACTATGGCGTCATCACCAACTTATAATATCCAACTAGTGTGGTGAAGTTGAACTAATCTCACCATGACCAGGGTTGAAGACCACCGATAAAAACTTAGACAAACAAGCTCAATGCCTAGTCATACAAAAGATGGGTTTCCATACAGTCCTTGACACATTGGTAAAAACCCCATTCACTGCTTGGTGACCAGTCTGACCATGTGCTTACCATTACAGTCCAGCCAGGAGAGCTGCTCTTCCACAGAGCTACAACGCCCAACAGTTAAAAGACAATGTGCCCTTTGACAGGCAAAGATGTTCAGCTTCACAGATGAAAGACACAGTTCTACCTCTCGGTCCTCCCACTTTTCCCATCATGCCCCAGTGAATGAAGCCGTTCCCCTCCTCAACCACACTATTAGTCAACTGATGACACGCATCAAACACAGACACACATCACACAACCACCGGACTCGGATATCAACATGCAAATTGAAGAAGATATGTCTATTAGAAGTACTCTGATTACTTTGATGCCATAACCATCAATTTGCTCATTAGGTAGCGGTCACCTTCCCTAGGTATTAGAGAAAGCTGCCACCCCAGTGTCATTACCAAAATATAGAATAAAGGAAAGGGGGTTCAACTGACGAACCACCCTGCATGTCACAGAGATCAGTCTCCATGAACATGTGATTATATATAGAATGTGTTGGTCCAAGTGCTCTACATTGGTACTCACAGTGCATGTCTCGTTCATGCTCATACTCAATGAATGCATAGCCGCGAGGTTTCCCCGTCCTCTTGTTGTAGACTATGTAAATCTGGAACAAACAAGCATGGAGACACTGGTTAGCTATGTGATTTGGGAAGACAGTACTGGGGTGATTTACAGTGGCTCCGACAAGGACTAAAGACACAGTGGGTTCAGGAGAGGAGCGAGTTCAATGCGATTGTAAATTGTAAGTAACGTTAAACATCACAGAACATGCAGGATGATCATCATTTTATACTGTACAACAAGTCCTGTTCTGTAGATATTTATTCATGTTGTTTCAGTCTAACATGCCAGTTGAAATAAACCCTTGTGTTTAAAAAAAAAAAAACACACAACCCTATTTAGATATGCTATGAATCTTATTTGATGGGTTTTTCTACTACTTGTTTTAACATATGTTTAAGAATATCAAAATTAACATGGATATTGAAATATAAATTGTGTGTCAATATTGTGCCACGTGTGTTCACTCTGTTAAAAACTTGGTAGCCTATGACGTTCCAGTCGTGGTTATTTTACAAGCACGGACCAGGTAAAGCAACAGTGAACAGGGCCACAAGCGCCGTGATAACGGGTCGCGGGTGGAAAAATACGGAAAAGGCGAGTTCTGAGTCTTTTATGGATTAGACGGGCAGGGCAGAGACAGAGTGGGGCAGGTCAAGCCAGTGTGTTTACCTGAGGTACAGGCTTCTTGTGTGTGTGGGGAGAAGAGAATTCTGAGGGAAGTATATTTAAAATTTATAATAATGTTCATGGTAATTAAAACCTGCTTTCACATAGGAGGTATTATGTGAAAAATTAGGGGTTTTACAATCACGATGCCTGCTCAACAGTTGACCATCTGTCAGCCAGCGCTACGTGGGTGTAATTTAAAGTGTAGTTTGTACCCTTACTGCATACATATGAACAAGTGACAGAGAGCAGCCAAACTTACCCGTTTGATGGGGCCATAAACCTCAAACTCGCGGCGAAGTTTTGACTCTGTGGTATCGTAGTTCTACAACAAAAGCAGAATTCTGTTAGACATCGACGGCTTTTACAAAATAGTTAGCCTACATTTGCTTAATGCACAAACCTGGAGTATTGATGTGTACTCACCACTCGTGCAACAAACAATGTCTTGAAGGCATCCCCTTGTGCATTGGGATCATTATGGGGGTCCCCTGACATAATGCAAATAAGAACGCAGGATTAGTCTAAGCCAAAAAACCATATGCAGAGAAAAGCACTTCAACTGCACACCACTGTGAAAACTCACAAAGCTTCAGTTCTGTCTCCACCACTGCTTGCCTCCTCTCAATCTTCTCTCGCCTCTGCAAAACAAAAATGAACAGGTACCTAATATAGTGGCCACTGAGTGTATATTCTAAATATAGCGTATGCCTGAACTAATATTGATTTTTCCCCAGTGGGACTTCAGTTAAATGGCTAAAATGTGTTTAGCTTCCATGCCGGTACAAGTCTGTTTCTCCAAACTGGGGACACGTCTACCGCCACCTACTGCAGGTAATCACTGACTAGCCCCAAAAATCCCTTTAATAAACTGTGCTACGTGAGCATTTTTCACTGGGCTCCTACATTTCTTTGTGTGCTCAATTTGTTTTGCCCATCTAGCACTCCTTGGGGGAAAAGTTAGCACAGAGACCAGCTACATTATTTTTTAACTTTACGGGGACATCTGTGGAAAAAAAGCCAATTAGAAATCTGTACTTTTCACGTTTAAAAATCCCGCAATTAGGAGCAGCGCCAAAGTGCTTTTTTCCAGAGCGCCTTAGCTGAATGAAAAGAAAACAACAAACAAAACCTACAAAATTATTATGTTTCATGGCACACAGGCAATGACTGAAGGATCACTTCAAGCTTACTTCATCAGTGAGCACATTTATTTCACTTGTGTTATTAAAACCACATCGTGTTATTTTTTTAAATAAAAATCATGTGAAAATGATTAGACACCACGGCCCCCACCCACCAGAGTACCTACACATCCAGAAACTGAGGGAAAACTGTGTTTGTGATTAAATTGTTTACTGAAGCACAAAATTGTTGACAAGGGCACAATGTTCGTCATAGATCCAACTTCTTAATTCTGCTCTTAAATACACTTAATTGATGCATATAGCTTTAGAATATACAATATAAATATAAAATATATATAAAATAATAAATATACTTGTCTTTCTTCACACCCCTGGAACCCCAAGGAGGGCTCAAGGTCCACCCACCACAGTCTCATAACATCCTGTGGGGAAACCCTGCAGTCTTCTGGACAGCCAGTCAGCGGTGTCTCCGATACATATACACACGTAGCATCCCAAGCCAGAACCAAACTCTCACATAATATGAGGGGGCATTTACTAAGTACGTGTTGTGGCCCTTCATTTCGTCTCTCACCTTTCTCTCCAGCCGCTCGTCACGGGTCTCTGCCCTCGTTGGTGGAGGGGCATCTCTAGGGTCCTGATCACAAAGGGTTATAAGGCGATATCAATATCCACAGTGAGCCATTGAAGAAACTGACATAAACAGAGGACACGAATTTTACAAAATTAAACATTCACCTCGAAGTGCCTGATGAACGGTGCAATGCCGCTGTACGGTTGGTTGTGATGCTTCTCGTGGGGCAACTTCTCTAGCTGAGGCAGGAAAGGTATGGGGTCCCGCGGCGCAAAGAGGGCCAACAGGTTCGGGGGTAAAAACTGCGTCATCCTTCACCTTAATAAAGATATATAAATTCCGACAACTAATGTCAGACACGTTGCAAAATTGTAACGTACCAGTCAAGGCAGGCCAACACCAACAACGGAAGCTCGCATGCTAGTTAGCTTGTTGTCTTTATTAACTTCCCTGGTAGCGTGTGCTACGCTTGAGCGTTTCGTCGCTTGGGCAAGCATTACTCTTTATATGTATAAAACATAACGTGAATACTACAAATACAAGTTATGCGATAATAGTTTTCACTCCAGCTATCATATCTGCACCGTAACGTTAGTTTAGCTTTGAGGCTTTAGTGGAGCCATTTGCTTTAGCCATCAAGCTAACTATGCTAACAAGGACCCTGGAGTGTGATTCTTACCTTCTCTCCTCCGATGTCTTCATAAATGTCAGACCATGGACCAGAGGAAGACGCGTACAATATACGCAGGTCTCCTGGACCTATATACTCTCGCAAAAGTGGACAAACAATAAGTTGAAAGCTGACCGCTAAGGGCGCCCACACCGTGTATCGACAAACACTTGAATGTGTGCGAGCTGGTAGTGTTCTCTAAAAAGAAAATGGCGGGATGCCGTAAATCGACACCCGCCGTAAAGTGTGCCGGTAGAAAATCGAGCAGACGCACACACTGGCGGTAAAGTATCAATGTTGATTTTGAACCACAATTGTGATAAAAGTAGCGTGGGCAATACAGTGTTTTGTCTCCATAATAAAGGTGCCTACATGTAAAATTCAATTAAGCTTTAAATCTTTTGTTCTCAATCCCAATTCAAACAAACAGAGTAATCCACATTTGTTGAAATTAAGGGGAAATGTCTGTCCACCCACTCAGATTATGCCACTTTGTAACAGATGGCATCATATTCATTCTCCTTATGGTGGGAATCCTTTAAATCCTTTAAATATGCTTCAGAATGGTAACCTGCATCTAAGACCTTTTCTGTCAGTTTCACACATCATTTGCAAATGATGAAAAAAAAATGTAACTATGAGGCTACAAACATAACCCACAATGATTGTATTAGCTTTGTTTAACGTGCAGTAAACTCTGTTGAAATAACTGCATGAACCCAGCAACTGTTTATCTTTTTGGATTACTACAGATCATAAGTCTGTAGTGTCAGCAACAAAGGCCAGAGCTTTCTAAACCAATGCTGATAAAGAACTAATTATTCATTATTATTATTATTATTCAAACACAAGTTTTATCCAATACATACTGGACGACATGTAATGCAAATACACAAAACAGTCTAAATAAATAAGTCCATTCTGCTGTGTACTGGTTTTCAAGCAACATTTATATTTTGTTGGTCAAGTCATTTTATAAAGAGATTCAGCCACTTTCTCAACCTCAGTAACACATGCACACAAAACACAGACAGCAGAATCAGAGAACTGAGAGGTCAAGTGTCAATGTATTTGAACCATCATCATTCAGCCGTCCAGCTCATTGACAGCTGCAGCTTGCATACAGTATGCAAAGACACAGACAGAGGGGAAATGTGATGTAGTGTTCTTACAGTATTGTACAACACATTTTGGTGTTGCTCAGCTTGGATAATGATACACGTGAGGATGGGGTAGACAAATGAACATGAACACCTAATCCAATGCTATTGAAAAAATAACCCTGCAATTAGCACCACCATTGGGAAGCTGCTAAATGGACACATTCATCAAAAACTATAAGCTTCATAAAGGTAGTATTTATTGCAGGGTTTGTGTACTGGACTATATTAGATCACACAGTTGTGCAGGAAGGCATCCACTTCCTGAACATTGTATACATAATACATTTTGTATGTGAGACATATTTACAGTGAGATCACAGAAATAACGGGAGAAACTTCCAGAAGATCACATAAAAGCATAGACAAGGTGGGATGTGAAAACAAGAAAAATATTAGACACACACACACAAAAAAAAAAAAATCTGTGGATGGCCCAGCAGAAGGCGGTATGGGGGCACATTAAAAAAAATAAAAAAAAAAAAAAGAGTCTCCTATCAGGCAGAGGAATGCAGCACTCCCGGCTCCCTGTCGTCCCTCTCTTCCTCATCCATTTTGCGTCCATGTTTCCGGAAGTATTTGTAGCGCTGGACGTACAGCTTTACCAGGTTGCTGACTTTGACCGGGTTGATTTCCCCAGTGCGGCTGTGGCAGATCTGACACAATGACAATATGATTAAATAGCCTGTTTCAATACAAGTAGTACACTTTACTACAATACACTGTAGTTTTTAAGCATTAATCGAACTCCAAGTAGTAACACTAAACTCTTGTGAACCCATTAAGTAAGATGTGCATTGATGTACACACACTAACTTCACTAACCAGTTTTCTCCTATGCTACGCGTGTCACTAGATGTGTGCGCTGAGGCTGACCTTATGCACAGCTTTCCTGAGGATGTCTTTGTATTCGTCCTTGTTGATGTCTTTGCGTTGATAGTAAGGTTTGATGGCAAGCTTCACCTCCTCCACCGCCCGCTCCTGGGTGTGCAGCTTCTTCAGGTACTGGGGAATTCAGGTACCGGACATGTTCAATTAATGAGACTACAATAATAATAATACAATTGTATTTGTATTGTGCTTTTACAAACAGTTAAAGTGCTACACAAGAATAAAAAGGTAACAGTACGACTAAACCACATCTTACAATATAGTAAATGTACTATAAATGCACACAGAATGAAGGCGTAACTGTGGCACATTTCTTCAGAGAAAAGATATAATCAAATATTTACTAAAATGTGAGGGGTGTACTCACTTTTGTGAGATACTGTATATAAATAGCTGTATATATTGTTTTATTGTGTGTTACCATATTTTAATATAGGCCTACACTTAATTATATGTTGTATGAACCATAAAGGAACTACAAATTTTGTTTCGTTGTGCAGCCTTGTGCTGTATAATGACTAAAAAACAACCTTGTATTATTACATTATGGGCAATTTTCTATGTGAGCCATTACATTATTATTATTATTCGGAAATTCTTTAGATACTCTCTCACTTAAAGCCTACCGCTTGTACTCTGCATGTCGCCATTTACTTTGTCTGTTTTCTGCCACCACAGCCGCTTTTAACTCCCGTGTTACATTCAGTAACAGCCCCAGCTCGTTATTCGTCCATGCATAAAAGAACAAAAATCTGGAGTGATTCTTCGTCTTCATTACATTATTCTTTCGCCAAAGAAGAGACCATATGCTTCATGTCTGCTTCAACGGCCAGTAGATGTGCGTTTTCAGTCGTTTTAATATAGACGGAGATCAACTCTGATACGCAGCTAAAACGCTGCTGTGGACGGAGATCGGATTTGTTTTAAAACTCGCATTTTTAAACAAAAACAGAGAAGTGTGGATGGGGCCTGAGACCATCGTAGCATTCAGAAGCAAGGGTGAAGAAATAGTGCAGAGCTCACATTTCATCTAGTTAGGTTTTAGGTTAGGACTACTTTATTTGTCTCATGTTTTCTTTACCTTCTATCCAAATACTAAATCAAAAATATATATATATTTGGATAGCTACACTTTCTATAATGAATGTATGTTTTACACTTTGTGAATTGCACATTCTGAATATGCGCAGTTGCACTTTATACATCTCAGATCTATCTATCTGAATGTTTGTTGATGTGGGATATGTAACATGAAGGACAGCAAATTGCCCTGATCTGTTCATGAGCTTCTACTTTACCTTATCTGGGTCTTTGCTGTCATTGTCCCATCCAGTGTCACCAGAGCTCCCAGTCACTCCTGACAGCCCCACAGGTATGATGGAGGGCGGGGTCTGCGCACATCCACCACCTATGGAGGGGTGCAGGAGAGAGGGTGGAGTTTTGGTGCAGCCAACCAATGGGAGGGAGCTGTGGAGGATGAACTGTGCTGGGCTCAGGCCAGGAGGCGGAGGGAGAGAGGGAGGGGGAGGGATCTGGGAGGAGGAGGCGGAGGCTGAGGAGGGAGGAGCGTGCTGCTGAGACTGGCTCTGATTGGCCTGTGAGAGGATCTGCATGAAGAGACATGAGATAAAGTAATGGCACAGTCAGACCCGATTTTGCTCCCCATTCATTGCTGTGTGGAACAGGTCACACACACTTGCATCCCGTCACAAACTGACCCACCTCCCCACAAAATCTCAAGGCTCTCCCACATCCAGTTTGGAGAAAGGTGGGTTTGACCTCACGTTAAAACTGTTTATATTGTTTTATAACTGCACAGCAGAGGTGATGCTTGACTGCAGTGAAAGCAACGACAGTGACAGGTTAATGATTGTGAAATATTTGATAAAAAATAATTTATAATTTACTGTGTGGACCGCTGTTAGCCATGCTAGCTCTCAGTTTACATTTACAACCCCATTTACGCTGTTTCCTGTTTGCCTCAGCTTTGGCCGCACCATACAAGTAAATTTTGCTTGATGGATTTTGGTCTGACTGCAGTTTAAGGTTAGTGTGGGGGAAATAAAACGTGTGTGGATACTGCAAAACCTATTTTACTGCACAACATCCAAACTTCATTAACAAATAGAAGGACTTCACATATCTGACTGCGACTGATATGTGAGGTTTACATGGATTTCCCCTTCTTGCCAGAACCACATGCCGACAGGGTTATTGGTGTACATATAATAGCAGTACAGCAGTTCTGATTTAAACCTCTGACTTTATGTGCATTTATTTTGAATTTTAAAAAGTGGTGGGAATCAGATTTAAAAAAAAGAAGAACCAAACCAAAATTGGGTTCTAAAAATACAATTGGCACAACACTTACTTTGAAGGATAATCAGTAACTCACCAAAACAAGCCATCTTTCAAACAGAATGTATCAGACAAATTTAGGCAACAAACTTGGCATTTAAGTGCCCTTTTCACCCCACACCCACACTAGAAAACAGACAAATTGCAGCTATTGTTTATCTACTGCCCTTAAAGTGTTTACTTTAATGGCCTGTTGTTGTGTCTCTACAGTCTGTAAATCGGCTCAGTTACATTCTTTGCCCTACACTGATGCAAAAATGCATTTGCCGGTGATTATCTTACAGCATATGTGATGAAAGTGATGAAATCAGAGAAAGGGTTACACAGTGATAAAATTAATCTGTATCACAGCATCCTTTTAAATTTGAGGGCCAGTATTTTTCTGATCCGGCATCTGACAAATAAGTTCTGTAATTATTATTAATATCATACCACAGCAGTGACGTGGAAATTGGACTCATTTTTAAAATATGCCACTATTCTCATTATTCTAATGCGTCTTATTTTCATGATGGTGAATGAACAATATACTGAAATATTAATGAGACAGGTTTGATATTTGTTTTGGACAACTTGTTATTTTAATTGAATAACCAAAAATAACCTTTAGAATAATCAATAATTAGTTGTAAGATTAATGGACTGGAAGTATTGCTAGAACTGGTGACACTTGTTGCCAACAGATACCGACACATCAGTGGGCTGAACGGAGAGGATGTGCTCACAGCTTTGCCCTGTTGGCTGCCTCACCTTAATCATCATGACTAAACCCAATATACTCCCAAACCGGGGCAGAGGCATTTTTCTTTTTTACTAGTCCTGTAATGTTATCCCACCGCTCGCAAGAAGCTTCTTTTGGTGAGCATAGTGAGTGTGTGCTAAAAAAAAACATTTATTTCAAATGAAGACTGAGGAGAACGACTGCTCAGCGTCACCCTCTCACCTGGCTGGTTGCTTGAATGAACTCTTGTGCTTTCGCTCTGCTGGCGATATTGGCCTCCTCCATTTTGAAGAGCAGAGCAGTCACTGAGAGGGAGAATGATAGAGACCATTATTTCAGGAAAAGGACGCGTAAACCACGTCCACCATAGGCACATCACGCACCAAGGCCGATCATGCTCAGTCTCAACCCACGACTACTAGCTAAAGTTACTGAAGTGTGTCCTGACGCTGTCTCTGACTCCGTTTCTTGTCGAAGGGTGCAGGATACTGTTGTTAAGAGTCTTTACACATAATGGAAGTGCATGTAGTGCCTGTGTTAATTAGGGATGCACCAAAATGAAAATTCTTGGCCAAAGCCGAAACCCAATATAATGAAAAATATTGCTGACTACTGAATACCAAACAAGTACATTCACATTTTTGCCATTTTCCCCCCACTGCATAAATTAAATAGTCAAAATGTGTTTCCCACAGGATTTGGAGAGACTATGGTGGGTGGGTCCGAGTACGTAAATTCCATGAGTCCATTTACTTTTAATGGACACATGTAATATGTTTTATACTTTCTGTGAATATAATCCAGTTAATCTTATTTCCATCCTGTATAGACACCTTATTTTGATGTATAGACACCTTATTTTGAAAACCAGATGTTGTCACACGTGCATCCTCGCGCTAAATTCATCAAGTCCGACCCGGTTTGATAAATAATGTTGTATGTAGTTCTCGTATCGCGTAACATGAAGACTTCACAGCCCCTCTTCAGGTAGGACTCTCATACTGCAATGTTTGTAAAGAGACAGACTGACAGGATAAAGTTGCTAACCTGCCTGTCTGCTCGCTCTGGGCTGTTTCAGTTACCATAAATGCTTCAATACATGTGCACTCCAAATGTAGGTGCTGCTAGCTTAATTGCCTTCTCAAAAACGAGTGACAGAAACACTCAAAGCAGGTCAGACCGTTTGTTGCCTTTTCTAAGAAGTCAGCCACAGATGGATGTGCTAGGAGACAATTCAGCAGAGCAGTGTCTGCAAACGGCGGATTTTGCGTCTTTCTCAGACACTTGGCTGACATGCTTGGCTGATTAATTTCGGTGGCTGAACATTCGGTGCATCCCTAGTGTTAATCCAAACACGGACCGCACAGATGGTGTACAGTTCCCAGAGTTGAATAGTAGGGGTGGGGGGAAAAAATCGATACAGCATAGTATCGTGATATTTGCCATGGCAATACTGTATCAATACACGGACGTCAAGTATCGATATTTTATATAAATTGCAGATGGGACTTTTAACTTTTTGGTACTAGAATAATAAAATTTAGCTTTTTTAGTCCACTAGAAAACTTAACAGGACCATATACAGTGGGGGGAAAAAGTATTTGACCCCTTGCTGATTTTGCAGGTTTGCCCACTTACAAAGAATGCAACAATCTACAATTTTAATCATATGTACATTCTAACAGTGAAAGACAGAATCCCAAAGAAAATTCCAGAAAATCACATCATATGAATTTATAAAAATTGATAACCATTTGATGAGGAAAAACAAGTATATGACCCCCTACCAAACAGCAAGTATTCTGGCTCCTACAAGCCAGTTAGTCTTTCTTTAAGACACAGCCCCAATCCCAACCAATTATCTACATCAAATACACCTGTCTCACCTCGTTACCTGTATAAAAGACACCTGTCAACACCCAAACAACCAGCATCCAACATCAGCACCATGGGCAAGACCAAAGAGCTTTCTACGGACATCAGGGACAAGATTGTTGATCTGCACAAGGCTGGGATGGGCTACAAGAGAATCGGAAAGCAACTTGGAGAGAAAAGATCAACTGTCAGTGCAGTTATCAGGAAATGGAAGAAGCACCACACCACCGCCAACCTCCCTCGGTCTGGGCCTCCACACAAGATCTCGCCTCGTGGGGTGTCCCTGATCATGCGAACGGTGAGGAATCATCCCAAAACCACAAGGGGGGAACTGATGAATCAACTGAAGGCAGCTGGGACCACAGTTACAAAAGAAACGGTTGGTAACACACTACGCCGTCATGGATTGAAATCCTGCAGCGCACGCAAGGTCCCCCTGCTCAAGAAGAAACATGTACAGGCCCGCATGAAGTTCGCCATTCACCACCTGGACGACTCAGAAGAGGCCTGGAAGAAGGTGATGTGGTCAGATGAGACCAAAATAGAACTTTTTGGCCTCAACTCAACTCGTCGTGTTTGGAGGGCAAAGAACACCGAGTACAACCCAAAGAACACCATCCCCACCGTCAAGCATGGTGGTGGCAACATCATGCTTTGGGGGTGCTTTTCAGCCAAGGGGATGGGACAACTCCATCGTATTGAGGGGAGGATGGACGGGGCCATGTATCGTGGAATTCTGGACCAACATCTCCTTCCCTCAGTGAGAGAGCTGAAGATGGGTCGAGGATGGGTGTTTCAGCACGACAACGACCCTAAGCACACCGCCAAAGCAACAAAAGAGTGGCTGAAGAAGAAGCACATCAAGGTTCTGGAGTGGCCTAGCCAGTCTCCAGACCTGAATCCAATTGAAAATCTTTGGAGGGAGCTTAAAATTCGAGTTGCCAGGCGACAACCTCGGAACCTGAATGATTTGGAGGCTGTCTGCAGGGAGGAGTGGGCCAACATCCCTGCCGAAATGTGCACAAACCTTGTCACCAACTATAAAAACCGTTTGACATCTGTGCTGGCCAATAATGGCTTTTCTACAAAATATTAACATGCTGTTTGTCCAGGGGGTCAAATACTTGTTTTTCCTCATCAGATGGTTATCAATATTTATTCATATGATGTGATTTTCTGGAATTTTCTTTGGGATTCTGTCTTTCACTGTTAGAATGTACATATGATTAAAATTATAGATCGTTGCATTCTTTGTAAGTGGGCAAACCTGCAAAATCAGCAAGGGGTCAAATACTTATTTCCCCCACTGTAGAAGACTGAAAAAGTGATATGAACAAACAGAGAAATGTACCTTTTTAGATAAACAGATGTTGACAAAGTTTGACTTTAGGGACCTAATTGGAAGTTGGAAAAAGGTAAAAAATTGCAATATATCTCAATATATTTAAAATCGCAATAAAATCGAATCGCAACATAAATATCGTGATAATATCCTCTGGTGATTCCCACCCCTATTGAATAGTCACATCTATTGCTATTTTACATATTCAGCTTTAGTAATTATTAGTAAGAAGAAGAAGCCTAGTTTTGAATGACAGCTTGCTCTGTGCATGTGGGCTTAGGAAGCAGAGGAGAGACAGGTGAACAATTAGAGTTAACAATTTGTGTTACATAAAACTGAAATTCAAATCTGGTCTTTTAGGAGATGCAGTTACTTAAACCCACAGTGAGTAAGAAAGGCATAAATAATATGTTATTTATAAAGCTGTGAGTACAGAGAGAGCCCGCTAGCTGGTTTATGCAGTGTAAAACCCTGTAGGCTTCAGCTTATAAGGGTGACTACCACGTTAAAGCAGTTTTTGCAATCACAAGACAAGACGAGAGGATCATTGCAAAACAGAATGCGGAACAATAAATATTTTATCTTGTTTTCATAAACCAAATCATAACCAAACCAAAATCGGAACTGAAAACTAACTAAATTTGATTAATCGCCCTGCCCTATAACAAATTCCCAATTTAACCCCTGGGAATAAACCATGACTTCAGCAAATGCAGTGGTATCTCACAGGAGGTACTGTAGGTAGCAGGGACACTCCCCAACAGTCTACTATACCATTAGTCGATGAGAAGAGTCTGAGCAGACCTAATCTTCATTGTTCAATTAGTGGCAGAAAAAAAAAAAAACTGGTTGTTCCGACACATTCAGAATCATTTCCGCTTGTTGTCAACAGACGGCTCGCTGAGTGCTGCTTGTAAAATGTACATTTTAAAGTGCCAAGTTTCGATACCTAAAGGTTTTATTTTTTCAACATCTATGAGCCAATAAGCATGCAGCATGCTTGATGTGCCCAAATCTAAAAGTGACTGTAATTGGCTGTGGTGATGTAAACACTAGTTCACGCAGAGACGCGGAGAAGATCAAAAGTTGCATTGCTACATTGCACCAGGCTTGATGCAACATTTGCGATGTATGAAGCACTTGACTGTGCATGGAATAAACTTAACAGCAGAAAGTTGGTCCGTCTTCGACAGCAAGAAGACCGAGCCGGTGCAGTCATCGTCTCAGCGCTCTACTGCCAACGAGTCTACTGATGAAGACAGTGGCGCTATGACTGACGTTTAGCAAACAAACAAAATCGGGTAACTTGTAGTGGTACATGCTTGTGTACTACTTAAGTTAATGTTTCTGTGCGCGGTGACTTATTGTTAGTCAAACATCCAAACAATATCTAACGTAGATCCCTGGTAAGAAAAAGTTAGCTAAATTACCCAATTTAGCTTTGGATAGCAAGCTAATCGATGCTAAAAACGCTGAGAGTAACTGATCAAGTTTAACTCACATTAAACTACGCAGTTTTCAGTTGAAGTATGCAGCAGAGAGCCTCACATACTGACTTGAAACTTTAATTTGCACTGAAAACTATTCAAACTTTATTTAGACTATTTACACTGATTTATTGTGTTTTTTAACTTGTTCCTTCCTTTGTGCTTTTTTTATTCCTCTGTTGGAACTGCAGTGGCACAGGAAATGAGTCTATGAGACTTGGAAAAATGTCAAGAAACTAAAAACTAAAAAAGTATTTTGAGGTAACATAATCTTGTTAAATTGGATTTCTTAAAATTGGTATCGTTCGGGAAACATTATCAAAGTCGAGGTATCGTATCGATATTGAAAATCTTTGAACGATACCCAGCCTTACTAACGACTAATAATTGGACAAAACCAGAGTAGGCAGTGAGCTAGTTAGCCGGTGACGCTAACCACTTAAATCCATTCCTCGCACACGTTTGCTCTTGTGTTTTAGGTTTTTGAAAGACTAGAAAAAGACGCCGCCCTCCAAACTTGAGAGAGACAGAGTACTTTAGTATATTAGCATATATTAGCGTTTAGCATATTAGTGCTGATATAATTTCATCTCTGCTGCTGGGAGCTCCCTGCACATATTTTTAAGATAATTTTGAAAACTCTTTTGCAGCATTTAATTGAACACATGCTAAAAGGCATTTAAACAAAGTTTTGAGTTTGAGTTGTTCTAAATTTTTCTGTAAATGTAACCGCAACCCAAATATCAGTTGATTACTAATAATCTGACCCTGGAAAACCCTACTGGCCTAAGGTTGGAATCTGAAAGTCTCTGAAATCAGTTTTTGTAAAAATAAAGAAATGATGTACAACTAGTAGAAGTATTCAACTTTAGTGTAGTCCTTTGTACGCCCTTTCAATGTGTGACTGTTTTGTAAAAACATGGCAGACTTCTGTACATCTCTGGAGGGAACTCACGCGCTAGGACTCCACCAGTGGTACAGTCTACCCCCGTCTGCAGACTCCAGGGGAGCGTGGGCGCTGCTGGTGGGGGGGGAGGAGGCTTACTAGCAGACGAGGAGGACACAGAAGAGGAGGAGGGGTCTGACGAAGACAGAGGCAGAGAAATGGAAGTAAGCCCACAGCCTGCTGAAGAAGACGAGCAAGGAGGCGAGCCCAGAGATTTGGGAGCATCATCTGGTGGAGGCGGCTTGGCAGTGGGTGTAGACAAGGCGTTGCCGAGACCAGCTCCGTGGGACAGGCTGGATGGACTGGACGCGGGAAGCGTGGGGCTGGTCTGAGTTGGACAGTCCTCAGCTAGGAAAGAAGGGTCTGGAGTCTTACAGCTGCTGTCCACTGTCTGAGAGTCGGGCGAAGACTCCCGGGTGTCCCGCAAAGGAGCCATAGAGGGCGGAGGCGTGTGGGGTGGCGAGGTGGAGGGTGGGAGCACACTGGTGGAGGAGGAGGAAGAAGAGGAAGAGGAGGAGGAAGAAGAACAGGGTGCAGGGCCAGCTTGGCCACTATGAGGACTCACTGACTTGCTCCCATCTCCCGCAGCTGACTGAACATCTAAGGAGGCTCCACCCCAGCCCTCAGACGTGGCTTTTGTTTGGCTGCCGTCTCCAGCCGTCGACCCTGCAGCTCCACCTTTTTCCCTCGTCTTCTTTGCCAGCCGACGGCGGCGCTTGGTTGCCAGAGACGATGTGGTGGGGGAGGAGGCGGAGGAGGAGGTGGATGTGATGGAGCTTGGTTTTGTTTTCTTGGACTTCAGTCCTGCGGGACTGGTTAAGGAGGATGGCGGTGCAGCCAGGCTGCTTCGCTTTCCCATGCTACTCAGATCCTTACCACGGCTGCCCAGTGACAGCGGCTCTGAGCACGGTTTGAGGAACGGAGACCTGCTCTCATTGTCCCTGCAGAAAACTACAGCAATAGAGCCACCCACCACAGAGCCCCCAGCACCTCCTCCTGTACCTCCTGGCCCTAGGAGGTCCATGCCCAGCTTTCCGGAGCCAACTGAAGCCCCAGTGGTGCTGCTCACGCCTTCCCGCACCAGCACAGACACTTTGGACTGAAGTTTGCCTTTCCGACTGCTGCCGCTCTCCTTCTTGGATTTGCCAGAGCGACCCAAATCCTTTCTGCTGCCCTTTTCCCGGTCTTTGTCCTTTCCCATTTTCCTGGCACGCTTTGCCGAGGGGAGGCCAGATGAGACGGAGGCAGAGCCTGAAGTGACCGTCAGTGAGGAGAGGCATTTGCTTTTGGTTCGATTGGAAGAGGAGGAGGAGGAAGAGGACTGGCCAATTTTCTTTAATGTGCGAGATTTCTTTTTCGGGTGATGTCGTCCAGTCTTGGGGGTGGTTTTTGTTTTAGGGCTGGGGACAGGTGGTTCTGGAGGCAGGGCAGCAGGGGGTGTATCCTCCAAAGATGGGTAGTCTGAGTCCAAAGCCTCACCGTCCAAAGATAACACGTCAATCTCCAATTTATCTGAATAGTGGTCTGACTCGTAGCTGTGATATCTTGGTGGTGAGAGCGACCGTGATTGGCTGTGACAACTTCCCTGGTCCTCCACATCTCCACCTGAGTGCCATTTTCTCTTCTTCTTCCTCTTGTGGGGCTTGTCAGAGTCCTGCGTGGGCCGACAGGGAGAGGTCGGGGTGAGTCTTGGGGAGCCGGGTACCGTGGTGGTGGTTGTGGTAGTGGTGACTGTGATGGTTCGCTTGATGGCAAAGAGGTCAGACCCATTGAGGTCTTGGATAGATGGAGGGACAACCGGACGACCTTCCCGTCGCCGTTCCCTCTCGCGCTGCCTGTCTCCATCACCGTCCCTCTTTTCCACGCTTCTTTTGGACCTACTTGACAAGCCCCGCTCTCTGCTGCTTGAATGTTGTCTTCCCTTCCTTTCCCTCTCCCTCCTTCGAGAGCTGGAATCTCGATCTCTTTCATCTCTTCTATGGCTACTGGTGCGATGTTGTTCTCTCTCCCCATCCCTGTCTCTCTCTCGTCCTCTGTCTCTATCCCTCTCTCTGTCTCTGATTCTGTCTCTGTCTCTAATTTTGTCCCTGTCTCTATCTTTATCTCTTTCCCTCTCTCTGTGCCTTTCGTCAGATAGGCTTGAAAAGGAGTGTCTAGTGTGGCAGGATCTGGAGGCCTCTGGGCTGCTGTGATGTCTTTTCTTCCTCTTGCGGCTACTGCTCCTGCTGCTCCTCATTCCTTTAATCTCCTTCCCGGTCCTGTGCCCTCGCTCCTCTTCTTTGCTCTTCTCCCGACCTCCCTCTTTGTCCTTTCTTCTCTTCTTTCTTTTCTCCTCCTTCTCCTCAGCCTTCCTGTCCTTGCTTTTGTGTCGGTCACGGTCCTTGGAACTCTTGGATGACTTGCGGTTCTTGCTGCCTTGCTCTGCAGGAGGTGTGAGGGGGGAAGAGGGTGCTGAAGCTTGGGGATGGGAGGGAGGAGGCGGTAGCTCAGGTGAGAGCGGGGAAGAAGCAGGAAAGGAGAGATACCTTTCCTTCCGCCTGCTGACCAGCTTCCTTCTCAGATCCTCCACTCCTACCACAGGCTCATCCTCAGGCTCCCTGTCCGTCTCCCAGTTGCTCTCCGCGCACACTGACACAAAGCCATCCCCGTCCAGCACCCGGAGGATGCGCTCTGGCTTTGAACCAAAGAAGGAGACGTTGGGAGAATTCAGGGCTAGGATCTCTCCAGCTGGTCTCTTATTGCTTCCATCTCTGTCAACAGCCCCAACTATCTCCCCCTCCTCTATCTCAGAGTGATCAGAGTCAGCACTCTCCCTCTTTTCTCCAGCTTTGGTACTGCTACGGTCCACTCTCCTCCTCAGGGGGCGCTTGGTGGCCGGACGGGGGCTTGGCAGCTCAGTCAAGGTGTCAGTCGAATCTGGACGTTCTTCCTCTTTCTCCTGCTCTCCTCTCTCAGCAGTCCTCTTCACCCCTCTCACTTTGCCACTCCCATCATCGCTGTCTGATGCTGGGGAACCAGTGGGGTCAAAGGGGTCATATTTCTCCCCTTCCCCCTCGTCCCCCTTCACTCCCTCAGTTGGATGGAAAGGATCATACATCTCCCTTTTCCTGCCCTCTTCTTCACAATCACCACTTGGCGGCACTGAAGTGTGGAAGGAATCCGAGGAGGTGGTGAAGGGTGTGGGTGTGGAGAGGGACTGCGTCGCTGAAGAGGCAGAAGTGGAGGACACGGTGGCCACCTCTGTCCCCTGGGTCTGGCCTTTTACATGGTTCTGATGAACTGACGAGTTGGCGCAGACAGAGGAGGATGTAGACAAGGGGGAGGATGGTTCAGACGAAGGAGATGACAGCGACAAGGAGGGCGAGCAGGGAGGAGGGCTCCTGGGAATCTCTCTTACTCCACTTGGGGAAGAGGAGGCAGCAGGCCTCCTTTTGAAGCCTGATGCTGGAGTCAAGTCCATGGGCCAGGAAAACTGGTGATGCAGAAGTCAGACAGTGGGCCCCAGAGGATGGTAGCAACAGGGAACGCCACACAGGAATAACCCTAGCAGAAAGGACAGGACACATGCAGTCTTTATCTTACAATGAAAATCTAACTGGAAAAAACAGCCTGTGGGATCATTTGTGGACACTTTAAGAGTTTGAGAATGATTTTCCAGGGTTCTAAGCTGGTTACTTTGGATCAACTGCAATTTATTTGCAAGACTAAAGCAACAAATTCCACATTATCATTCAATCCAGCATCTTACACATGTCCACGCTAGGACTGGTTTGTCATAGTGATTGCACCATTCCACATCTTCCCTCTTTATCGTACTCACTCTTTTCTGCTACTGTTAGGGGAAATAAAGGGACGAGAATCAGAACAGAGCCTGACTGAGGTTTTGCAATGTAAACAGTGAGCTCTATATTACAGCTTTGCCACTACATTGGCATGACCAGTGTTATCAGCTGATATTAGCTTATCATGCTGTATACATGTAAACCCATGTAAAACTGTCAGAACGGTTATGCCAAAGATGTTATGTCATTTAGAAAATAATCTATTACATTGTTTGTTCACGAGATAACAGGGACAAGTTTATTTTTTTCTCCAATAAATGTTGGTCACATAAGTAAAACTCTTTGTCAAAACATGTTGTTTATGCTATGTAAGTCAATTTATTATCTGAATTTTGATTGGGAATCCAAATCAAATCCAGTATTGGCCAGGCTACAGTCCAGAATCACACCTGGTATTAGATCTGCCATGAGGTTTCACCTGCAAGAGGGGGGGCTTAGGGGGGACAAAATTGTCTGAGAACAGTCAGTCCAGTGTGGAACAGCAGCATAATGAAAAACTGCTCTTTGGTGTAATAACACACGTGATGTGTATCTACAGCCTTTTGTTTGTCTATGCTGTTGTTTTACCAATGACTTGTATTATCTTGAGTTCTGTTTCTCATTTTTCTGTGTACTATTTACTATCTCGACCTGTGTGTTTTCTGACCCTTGTCGATGTTAAAGAAAACAGTGAAGGTTTTTTGCCCGGGTAGAGCCTCTGCTGTAACGGTCTGTGCCCACTCCTGGTCAATGTTAACCATAATGTTGACGCTTTATCGATAACGTTTGCGCAACATTTTCGTAGCTAACGTTCTATATTACATTAATTGTAATCCGGATTAATCACTGCTCGTGAATTACAACTGATTTACTAAATGACGTAACGTTACACATTGTTTAACGATGTGTCGGCAGTAGGTATTCAGCTAGGTAGCTAATTTAGCTTAACGTTAGAGCAGCTAGCTAGCTAAAGGCAGCAAAATGGTCTTTGTGCTAATGAGTTACCTTTAGTCTGGTAATCTGCAGCTTCAGATCAACGCCTCCGTCTTGCATTTACTGGTATCTCTTGCTAAGACATCAAATCAACCGTTAAAATACAGTACAAACTGCTTTTTGACGTTTTAAACGCGCAACCTCAGCCCCATTCCATCAATCGCCGCCATCTTCCATCCTTCCCCTCAAACCGGACGACAAAGAATGATGGGAATTAGAGTTTTGTGCGCCGTCATACTTCTCACTGCTCACCGACTTCTTTTGATGTCTAGAGAACATTAAGAAATTAAAATAGCGATATACAGATAAATATTACAAACACAGTCAATTCAAATGAATTCAACAAAGATGAATTTTGTAAGAAATTTTCATTCAAAACAATTAAAAGCTGCTTTCTTTAAAATTGGGTTTATCAAGTTAACCTACTGGCACCTATGGAGCATAGAATGTCCATCTGAATAATTGTAGTTTACTATGTTGAATTTTAATCAATTCATAAAGTTATACATTTAAAAAAACCTGACTTATGACCTGATAAATTAAATGCGCATTTCACTTCCCACTTGCTTTGGCAATGTTAATGCCTGTTTCCCATGCCAATAAAACCCCACTAAATTGAATGTGAAAAAAAAAAATAAATAAAGAGAAGTTATTCTGTCTTTTATGATGATCCAATCATTGATTTTTAAAATGGAATTGCAAATCCAGTTTTCCTTTAGCTTTTTGTTTTCATCTTGTGATTACTAATTTAAAGACAGCTCTCAGTAATTTTAAGATTTGTAAGAAGTACGCCACCTAAAAAGTCATTGATTATGAAAAGAATTTTGCTTAACCAAGTACTACCTGCTTGTATTTTGTCTAATTAATGTTTCCGACATTTTTAAAAGCAACTGTAGGCCTACCTACCTGTGTTTAAAGTACAGTAGGTTTTTAAGGTAACAGAAAAGTTAACACCTTTGCAGCAAATTAAGAAAACAAACATGCTTTTAAGACATAAATTGGTTTTATTTCAAAACTGATTACATAGTATTGTAACTAAGTATTGTTTGTGTGTGTGTGTGTGTGTGTGTGTATATATATAAAAACATCAAATATTCACTTTGTAAACATAAATATGTAACACAAATATGCTTCTTTCAATCTCAAGATGCTACATTATGTGCTGTGACAAAACCAGAGCTTTTTTCACTAATTTGTACCATCATGTATCATCAAAAGCAGAACCTTTACAGCCAAGCCATGATGTTGCCAAAGAACACTGGCTGAAACTTTTCAACAGGGTAGAGACCCTTTATTTGGCCATAAAATGCCCCACAACTACATATACAGTACATGTACATACAGGTGTTAATAATGTGGAGGCACAATGATGATTTGGTATAAGAGGTCTTACCATCCAGTACCCTCACTCTAACCCACCACTCTGACCAGCAGTGCCACAGGATATCCAACAGGGGACATACTATTCTGCCCCGGAGGATAAAGATTATTTATTTTATATTTTATGAAATCACACACCGACACACAAAAAGATTAGGGCCATGTGGTAGAAAAACTTTTGACTTTTGAAAGTTGAATCTCAATTTGAGAAAAGAAAATGTTTTCTCCCACAAAGATCTTCACAAGTCTTCAGGACAAGTGGCCAGGAGGAGGTGGGGTCAAACTGCCATCCTTTTTACCTGCGGCATTCCTGCTCCACCTCCTGAGCCCCCATTTTTCCCCCCCATTTGGCCGTTATCTTCTGTAAAACATCCATTCCACAAAAATTAAGAAAGTTTGTTGGTAACATCCACCCAATGTGATAGTGATGATGAATTAACAATCAGCCATAATATTCCTATTTGTATGGCAGGTGTTGCCGGTAAGTATGGCTCATTTCGGATTTATTTTCTCACTTGAAATGAATGGAATAAAGTGTGTAGAGCCCTTGAAGTTGCATGCACAAAACATTTCCACAAACTTTATGGTGCGCTCTTTAAACTAAAATTGTATGTTCAGTACAAGTTAACTATCCCACAAGAAAGCTTTGTGCTGGAAACATACTGAAGCTTGTGTACTTAGATGTATTCAGAGTGGCAGCAGAAGGCAACAAATGGCTTCTGAAAATAATGTGATGACAGCAGCAGCAGCAATGTCTTTATGTCTAGGGTCCATGATGAAAATATAGCTACAGATACATTTTGTATCCTCGGTGCAGAATAACAGCCACCAGACAGCAACTAGTAATATATTAAAACTTCATTAAGTTATAATATATTTGCTGTTCATCAAAACATTCATTTCTGTGGTTTGTTAAGACAAATAAACTCAAACTTGAATGTGTCTGTGGACAAGAACCAGAGTTTCTAATGTGCTCTACACTATTACCAGTGCACACTGGAAACTGTGGGATTTCTTTCTGCATGTCACTTCAGGAGCCCTGTATATACAGCACCTTATCAAAACTGAACATATCATTTCACAAAAAAATAACACACCAACACTAAATACAGCAATGCAAAGAAATGTCAAATCAATCTGAAAACAGATATATATATTTTTTTTTTTACATGTTGGCATGTGTCAACTTGTTTGGATGAAGCATGACTAACTAGCTGTAAACAATTCAAAGATATGAAATCTGTACACATTTTTAAAATAAAATGAACCAGAAAATATTATGTCTATTACATTGTGACCTCATTAGAGTTAATTTAATGTAAAACTCTCTTCTGCATCCATCCAAGGCTGCACACCAGCAAGAACAGAGGATGGGCGAACAGAACAGAGTTTCCCCTGAAAGTCTAAAAGTTTCTTTTCAAGACTCAAAGTCACTTGAAGCTGCTGAAAGACTTATTTGAACAACAGCGTGTTGTTTTGTACAATCAATATACTTCAGCTCCAAAGCATTCATTACACGAGCAGAGCCCTAGCTCTAACCAAATCGGCAGCTTGCAGAACACATTAATTTAAAGCTGCTGCTAAACGAACACAAACACACAATAAATAAACAATCAGCGCTGTATGTAAAGTTAAAGTACTGCAGAATTTATCCAACTGATTCTGAGAGTTTGTGCGTTGGTAGTTTTGCGATGTTCAGTGTTACAGACACCACTGACTTGGCCTGTGACATCACCAGCGTAACGGACCAATCAGCTGCTGTTTGCTCCCAATGCCTCCACCTCCGCCTGATCATGCTCTGAAAGTAAAACTGAAAGTCGGAAACAGCAAACACTCTCGCCTCCGAAGAATCCCTCCTGATGAGCTTACATTCAGCTTAACAAAGCGAGTGCATTGCCCTGTCTCAGCTGAGTTCCAGCTCCATACTGCTCACTAATTCAAAGCAGATTGTCAGTCCATTTGGCTGTGCCTTAAAACACCTGTTTCACAGATACGTCTGGTGAGATTCCATATTGTATTATAAACTATTAAGTATGTTGATTTTCTAAATACCAACTGTAAAAAAAAACCCAGCACACTACAAAGATCAGTACATCACACATACTGCATAGTATGTAGTATACAATTGGGGGCTGTTTTAATTTGCTGTCTGTGTACCACATCCCGACCTTCTTCTCAAATCAACGATGATTTTTAAAACCTGCATTTCAAAACAACTGGTATGCTTGAGTGCAGTATTTGGCACTACATTATTTCATACTTGCAGGACAACAATGTTTTTTCCTCTACTGACCTCAGCACTGGTTACACAGAAGTGAACTGTGTATGAGACAGACTGCAGGGACTTCTGTCTGCAGGGAAGCAAAACTCTCCCTCTTTTCTCAAACGCAAGCACAAGGCTCTGTCAAAATAAAAGCCAAATACAGAACATCCCTTGTTAAGACTTTTCACCCCCTCTTCCATGACAGAAAAAGCAGTGAAAGAATGTAAAAGAGGCGGAACAAACAGGGGGTATTGCAGACATGATCTGGAAGAAGCAGGGTTGTTTGGAACAAACATAGTGTAGTTAAATGAGGACAGAAGTGTAGGGTGGACCACGTCAAATCAAATCCTTCGTTCTCATCAACATCCTTGCTTAAATAGTCAGACACTCTAAATGTTAACAATTCCCCTACTTTATCTCCCCCTCACTGTTTAACTCGGGACCTCCACAGCTGGGAGCCAGAGGAGCAGGGAGGGGCTCAGAGGAGCATCCGGACAAAGTGAGGCACCTCCTGCTTTCAGATCAGCCCAGCGTCCTTGGCCATCTTGTAAAAGGCTCCTCTTTGAGCGATGAGATTGGAGGGAGCATCAAACTCTGCCATCTCTCCCTTGTCCAACACCAGGACCCTAGAGGAGACAGAATATTTATGAAATCCTTTCTGTGCCGGTAGAACAAAGACAATCCAGTACTGCAGTTGCTTCTTATACTTCTACAATAAATACTAGGGATGTTCCAATACAGTTTCAAAGATCGGGATCAGGACCACTCGTATCGGCTTTACCTGAGCCTGATCCTTTGTTTTGCTTTAGTGATCACCCAAGAGTCATAAATGGAGAGGAGTTTGTGGGGCAGCACTGGAGCTTTTTGGACAAATAAACACCCAGAGCCACAACGGATTCTGCTCTGATCCAGAGCCATAAACCGGCGGAGTTCATTTCTTTTATTAGATGTCTATGAAGATTCTCAGTCATCCAGGTCATAGTTATCCAACGAAGGTTAAAATCAAGGGCAACTGGACTTGGTTGAAGATACTGGAAGACGTTTCGTCCCTCATCCAAAGGACTTCTTCAGTTCTGACTGACTGGCAGGGAAACTCAGCTATTTAACCTCAGCGGGGTCGTTGGCCCGGGTCATCGATACCGCTGGTTCGTTAGTGTTCCTTGTTGCATACACTGAACTTGATGTTACTGTCCACAGAGTTGATGTGTTCTGTGAAGGCTTGCACTTCCTGGCTTTTAATTTTGACAGATGCTGGTCCACCCCAAAGACCGCACACCCAAACACAAGAAAAGCAATCTAGTGTATGCGGTCCAATGCAGTGAGGAATGCACAGACCTGTATATTGGGGAGACTAAACAACCACTACACAAACGCATGGCTCAACACAGAAGGGCCAACTCCTCAGGTCAAGACTCTGCAGTCTACTTACATCTGAAGGACAGAGGACACTCGTTTGAGGACCACCAGGTGCACATTTTAGACAGAGAAGATGGATGGTTTGAAAGAGGTGTCAAGGAAGCATCTACACCAGGGTGGAGAAGCCGTCATTGAACAGGGGAGGGGGTCTACGCCACCACTTATCCCCCACTTACAATGCTGTCCTTTCATCACTTCCCAGGAAACTCAACAAACGTAACCTATTGGCCTCAGGTGAAGATACCAACGATGGTCGTTCAGTCTTGGCCTCAGGTAGTCTTAACGACTGTAACGACTGTCGTCACAGCAACAAGGAACACTATCGAACCAGCGGTATCGATGACCCGGGCCAACGACCCCACTGAGGTTAAATAGCTGAGTTTCCCTGCCAGTCAGTCAGAACTGAAGAAGTCCTTTGGATGAGGGACGAAACGTCTTCCAGTATCTTCAACCAAGTCCAGTTGCCCTTGATTTTAACCTTCGTTGGATTCTTTTATTAGATTAAGATAATTTAATATTTCAGTATATTTTTCTTCCCTCGCGCTTCTCAACCTGTCTGCTCCAGTGAGCCACCAAATCTCCATCCGCCACTGTCGTTATTGTTGCTGGCACCCAGAGCTCTGTGGCACTACTTCTCATTTGTACAGAAACCAAACAAAACACGAGAGCGTTGTGCTTTACTATGAAACATAGCCCTGATCGATCCGAACGTCATTTAGAAAACAGGTAGGGGTGGGGGAAAAAAAATCGATACAGCATAGTATCGTGATATTTGCCATGGCAATACTGTATCAATACACAGACGCCAAGTATCGATATTTTATTATATAAATTGCAGATGGGATTTAACTTTTTAGTACTAGAATAATAAAATCTTTTGCTTTTTTAGTCCACTAGAAAACGTAACAGGACCATATAGAAGACTGAAAAAGTGATATAAACAAACAGAGAAATGTACCTTTTTAGATAAACAGGTGTTGACAAAGTTTGACTTTAGGGACCTAATTGGAAGTTGGAAAAAGGTAAAAAATTGCAATATATCTCAATATATTTAAAATCGCAATAAAATCGAATCGCAACATAAATATCGTGATAATATCGTATCGTGGAGCCTCTGGTGATTCCCACCACTAAAAACAAGCATTGTAAAAGTAGTTTGCTTATCATGCCGCGGTAGCAAACCAGATTCAAAGGAAATATGGGGGCAAAATAAATGTGATTGTGACATCCCTAATAACTACCTCTCCATTTGTTAGTGCTTAAGCATCAAATCTGCCTCATGCACCTGTGTGTGAACGCTCTTGTCGGAAGGCATGCAACACACACCTTATCTCATGATAATGACAAACTAATGATTGACATCTCCACATGACATTAGGATCCATCCAGTATCATTAGATGACTAAAAGTTAAACATAAATAACTACTTATCTTGAGATAATGAGATGACAATCCCATTATAACACAAAATTAGCAATTAAACGCAAAATAGGTAGGTGTATATTACAGCATATACAGTTTGTGTGTAGTGTACAGTACCTGGTGTAATCCATGATGGTGTTAAGGCGATGAGCAATTGTCAGGACGGTGCAGTCCTCAAACTGAGAGCGGATGGTGGACTGGATTAGGTTGTCTGTCTCCATGTCCACAGCTGCTGTGGCCTCATCTAGAACCAGGATCTTGGTCTTCCTCAGCAGAGCTCTGGCCAGACACAGCAGCTGCCGCTGACCCACGCTGGAGGGAGAACACAGAGACGTGCGTAAAAAGCTGGAAGCAGCACATCAGCAAACCATTAAACACTTCCTGCAGATGTTTCGCATCACAAGTGTGCCAGCAAACAGGAAGATCAGGTCATTTAAGCAGCAAGGAGGCTTTTACTATGATATATCTGTGCAGGAAGTGCGTAGTTTAAGTGAGTAAGAACGGTGTTAAAGAGAGAGCAGCAGAGTGGTGAGTATGACATGACCATCTGTTGGTTTTCATTAACAGCAAATTTCAAATAAAAGCTGGCTTCTCTCTGCAGTTGAGGTAAATGATGTTTTTGATAATTTGAGTGGCTGTATATGAAGCTGTTATACCTGAGGTTCTCTCCTCCTTCACTGCACTCATGGCTGAGTTTGTTGGGCAGGCCAGAAACAAAGTTCTTGAGATGGGAATACTCCAGAGCCCTCCATATTTCCTCATCAGAGTACCTGTCAAAAGGATCCAGGTTCATCCTCAGAGTGCCTGAAAAAAGCACTGGGTCCTGAGGAGGTGGGGAGAGGGTCATGGGATAAGTTAGCTGTGCCGCATTTCTGGGTCTCTTCCGTAGAAGGATGGCACCTACAAAACCCTCAGAGGTACTGAAGCTGAACAGATCCACCAACACCATCATTGTGAGTTCTGTCCCTAGTCACCGAAACTACACAATTGACACAGTGGACTAATGTATACCATCTGTGTGATGAGGCCATCCTCTGTCTCACAACACAGACTTTAAAGGAGTCTCCTTCCAATTGGGATACAGGTGTTGTTCCTTTAGCTTGGAAATACAGGCTGAATAACGGTGCAGGCTCTAGTAGCCATAACAAAATTTTTCAAAATGTAACCTGGGGCGAGCATTCATTTCCATCCCTGGCAGACCATTCAGGAGTCATTTCACTCCATGTTCTTTAGCGTCCTCTGTGCACTGACCTGTGGTATGATGGTGATTCTGGAGCGGAGCTCATGGAGGCCCAACTTAGCAATGTCCACCCCGTCAATGAAAATGTGGCCCTCGGCTGCCTCGATGATGCGGAACAGCCCAAGTGTCAGGGATGACTTCCCCGCTCCAGTGCGCCCCACAATCCCCACCTTATGGGCAGATGTAGCAGCAAATATGACGGGCCGTAGAGATAACACTTAAATACATCCACCAACACAGATGTAATGCACAGTCTCACTCACTCACTCCCCCCCCCCCCCTCATAAGTTTGACCACAATCAACAATTAGACCACTGAAGTGTAGTGATGTAGAGGCAGACCTTCTCTCCTCCATTAATGTAGATGGTGATGTCGTGAATGGCCGGGTCCAGATCGTGGCGGTAGCGCAGGCCAAAGCCTCTGATGTCTATGCAGCCGTCTGTGGGCCAACCTGAGGGGAGGCTGGAGGATTCGAGTTTCCACTCTGCCTGGTGGTCAGAGGATACACATTTAAATAAGCACATGAACATCCCCCACAACTACACCATCCACCCTCCACTCTCCTACATTTCTATGGCACTATTTTTTCTTGTGTCTAACTAAAGAGCTGGGATACAGTGGTGAAGAAGTATCTTTCACGTCAAATAGAACAATTAAAAGTATTCAATAGCCGTAAAACTCATGTACTGAAGTAAAAGTACTGAAAGACTCCACCACTGGGAAAACTCAGACATCATCAAATGCCATGCACTGACTAATAAAACTAAATGTATGTCATCGAAACAACATATTATGCCATACATGTCATGTCCAGCCTTACCTACACTGTGGGTGCAGATCCAGCTGAGATGACAAGACATTGAAACCCCACATTTTAATTGAAAATAGCACAGAGACAACTTATCAAATGTTGAAACTGAGAAATGTGTTTGTTTTTGGAAAATGATATGCCAGATTTGAAATTGATGCCACAACACCTTTCCAAAAAGGTGGGACAGTGGCACCAAAAGACTGGAGAAGCTGTGAAATGCTACAAGAAAACACCTGGTGGAACATTGGAACAATTAGGTTAACTGGCAACAGCTTAGTAACATGATTAGAAAGACTCCTTTTATACCCAACTCAAAGATGGGGAGGGGTTCACAACTCTGTGAAAGACTGCACTGGTAAATAACTATTTAAGAATAATGTTTCTCAACATAAAACTCTAAGAATCTGGGTTATTTCATTGCAATGTTTCCCCCCTTCTAAGGAGTTTCTGTACGCAATGGTTAAGGCCAAAAAAACAATATTGGATGGCCGTGCTCTTCAGGCCCTCAGACGGCACTGCACCAAAATCGGACACTTCTGTAGAAGACATCACTGTGTGGGCTTACAAACACTTTCAAAAACCACTGTCAGTGAACACAGCTCAGTTGAAACTCTACCATGCAAAAAAGGAAACCGTATTTAAACCAGATAATGAAACGCGGCCACCTTCTGCAGGCCCGAGCTCACTTAAGATGGACTGAGGCGAAATGGAAAACTGTCCTCTGGTCTGACGAGTCAAAATTTTATATTCTTTTTGGAAATCACAGACCCTGTTTGCCCAATGACAAAGAAATTATCAGTCTATAATTTTAATGGTAGGTTTATTTGAACAGTGAGAGACAGAATAACAAAAAAACATTCTGAAAAACGCAAGTCAAAAATGTTATAAATTGATTTGCTTTTTAATATGTGAAATAAGTATTTAACCCCTCTGCAAAACATGACTTAGTACTTGGTGGCAAAAGGTTTGCACACATCTCAGGAGGGATGTGATCCTGCTCCTCTTTGCAGATCTTCTCCAAATCATTAAGGTTTTGAGGCAGACGTTTGGCAACTTGAACCTTCAGCTCCCTCAAAAGATTTTCTATGGGATTAAGGTCTGGCCACTCCAAGACCTTAATGTGCTTCCTTTAAAGCTTCCTTTTGTTGCATTGGCTGTGTATTTTAGGTCATTGTCATGCTGGAATACCCATCCACAACCTATTTTCAGTGCCCTGGCTACTTGTGTCTCGCCTGTGGGGCTGCAGGTCCAAATTCAATCGCCTCTGCAGGCCGCAGCTTGTGCTGAGGGGCTTCGACCCCTTTTAACCTGCTTGCAGGTCTAGTTTTATTTGAATCAAACCACCATGCTGCTGTCTGGACACCAGTGAGAAAAGTCAGAATAAACTTTCTAGTTTTAATGGACAGTAAAAAACAGGATTCTAAATTGAGTTCTAAAAGTTTCTTGGACCCTTAATCCTAAACTTAAGTCCAAACCCAGCACCATGAAGTAAATCCTCCCTCCAAATGTTTGTTTCTTTGTACCTCTTTCTCTGTGTCAGCGTACTCTTTCACTCTCTCCACAGCCACTATGTTGGTCTCCACATCAGAGGACATCCTCACCAGCCAGGTCAGAGAGGCAGTCAGCTGTACGTGGGACAGATGAAAGCAAGGTGAGGATTAAATCTCAAACTTATACAGTCACTTCACAGATCCACCCTAATACAATGGAGCTGAATGGGATCTAGATTGAAGAATTTTAAAATAAATACTTGAAAACAACTCAAAAGCCATGAGTCTTTCTAAAGAGTCCTCTTACTTCACAAAAACATAATTTTCCTTCATTTCACATGTTACCTGCTAATTAACATATAACATATGCAATTTCTTAGCTAAAACCATACAGAACTTTACTAAATCATATCACTTAAGTAATATAAGGAATATATTTAAAGAATGAACAGAGTTATTAATCAGGCAGCTAGGCTAAACTCCTTTTAGATAATTGGCTGTCACATTTATGACTGCAGGCTTATTTCTGGGACTAGCGGGTGCTTCCCAAGTCCCTTAATTGCATCCACGTTTCCCCTCACTTGTGTCTTTTCCTTGCATCTCAGTCCTGTCCAGTGGGGACGCATAAAGAGACAAAACAAAATCACACGAGTAGAGAAGACATGAGGAAATATGTTTTTAGAGATAAGAGACGTCTTTCCTCCAAAGCGTAATGTGAAGTGACGTCCATTTCTGAGGATGGATTTCTCGCTCTGTAGCCGTTTAACAAACACCTGCACATGAAGAAAAACCTGCAGAATGCCTTTATACTATTTATTCCTTATCTGCATCAGTATTTATTAATATTCTGATTGTGATAATCTTTTATTCAATAAGGGGGCGTGTCGGCCAGTAAAAGGCTTCGGTGAAGGCTGGTCTCGTGTATCCTCGCTCATGGCTCCTCACTACATAAATAAGAGCTTTGGGACGGTCTGTAAGATGGTGGACCAGAAAAACATCCGGTTTAATTGAGAAGCGAGAAAACGACAAATAAAAGACTGGCGTGCACCTTTTGTGTCTGTGTGCTGTGGGTGTGGCTACTACTCTCTCTCCTGCAGGGCTCCTGATTACCTGCTGAAAGCAACCTATAGGAAGAAGTAGTTTCTGACCCATCTTTTCTGCCCCTGAAGAAGACGTGAACTGGAACAGGTAACGTAGGTGTGAGTGTTTACCTGGAGGGCATAGGAGATGGACAGTCCCATGATGCCTGGACTGAGGCTCTCTCTGGCCATGACAGCAAACAGGGCAGCAAATGACACAATGAAGTTTCCTACAAACTCCAGGCGGACTGCCAGCCACCTACACAAACACATTCATTGACACAATGAGGAAAGAAGACTACTGTAGGTAAGTAGCACATTTAATCCAAATGAAGAGGGAACATTTGAATTGATCAAAAGAATCCTTGTAGTTAAGTGTAATAAGAAAGAGTAGTAACAATGTCCCTAACCTGTTTGCTACTATGCTGGGGTAGTAAGCCTTCTGGTTGTGGTCGACGCGCTGGTCACTCTCACGGATGAAGCGTTCCTGTTCACCAAAGGCTCGGATGACGGAGGTACCCAGCAATGTTTCATTGAAGTGGGTGTAGATGGGTGAACGGCTGACTGACTCCAGACGCTTCAGCTGGCGAGAGGACGCCACATAAAACCTCTGGACAGAGGAAGGACAGAGATGTCTAACTTCAAAATCAGCAAACAGTGTGGGGACTGTAGACTTTTTACACACAGTCTCCATGTTTAGGCAGCCACAACGTAAAGAACATGTATGAAAGAAAAAAGTAGGCGTTTTGCCTTTATTCCAACTCACCTGCACAAAAAAATAGAGCACACCAAGAAAAGGAATGATGATGGCAACCAACGGTGTGGCGATCAGGATGATAACACATGCACCCAACACATTGAACATGGAGCCCATGAACATCTTAATAATGCTAGGGATCACTGAGTCAATGGTGTCCATCTCTTTGGCAAAGCGGTTGACCAGGTTGCCACTGGGGGTTCGCTCAAAGAAGGACATAGGTGAGCGCAGGACGTCATACAGCATGGACTGGTGGAGGCAGCGGGACGCCAGGATGCCCCCGATGGACATGGAGAGAGAGTAACCAAAGACTGCCACACCTGAAAAACAGCAGTGGGGTGTATAAGGTAAAGTAAATTAATATTTTACATTCAGTGGTTATCGAGGCTTGTTACGTTTAATAGCTCCGTGTCAAAGCCTAGATTTCTCCCAGTGTTGGGATATTTTAGAAAGCTAATTTAGGCAGACGTTTCATAGTTTTGATCAAGTCAAAATCAACAAACATGACGATGCAGTTTGCAGTGCAACGCACATTTCACTGTAGTTGAGCTAGGGACCGTCTTAAAAGTGCAATACAATCCATTTCAATCGTCAATAACGTTTTTGTTTTTCTACATAAAAATCTCAAACCACTGCCAATATATAGTTACCACCCTTAATCATTTAAGTTTGTATATGAGAACATGATTTTGAAAAAATGACTTCTGAAAAAAAAAAAAAAGATTAATTAAGCACATTGCAAGGGTGTAATTTCAATAGCTTGCTCATATTGACATCAAATCACCTCTCATCTGTCATGGAGATCATCTAACAACATCTTTTACAGCTGTTAGTTGTTTTTTTTGTAATGTTCAGATGTTTTTATTAAAAGGAGTATATATTGAAGATTTATTTTTTTGTTTTTGTTTTTTGAGCATGGCATCAAATTGGGTATCAAGAACTGTGGAATTTCCTGGTATTGGTATCAACTACTAAATTTCTACTACTAAAAATCGTGACATCCCAAATCTGTTCTCATGAAAATGAAAGGTTGCTTTGATAGCGGCCTTCAGCTGGTCTCTAATGTTGGGTCTGGTGTTATCATTTTCCTCTTGGTAATAGCCAATTCACCTGACCTGAACCTGCTTCTGGCTATGGAAGTCTAGAAAGATCTGATAGGTCAGGCGAGTTCACTGGCCAACCAAGCACAGTAATATCATGGTCAGCAAACCAGTTACTAGTGGTGTTGGCCTTGTGGGCAGGCGCCAAGTCAGCATCTCCATAAAGCTTGTCAGCAGATGGAAGCATGAAGTGCTCTAAAATCTCCTGGTAGACGCTTCAGTTGTTGAGATTTTCTTTCCTGATTCAGAATCTTGTTAGAATGAGTTGGGATGTGTTCAGTGTATGTGTCAACCAACAACTTTCCTGTTCTTCTGGTGTGTCTTGTAATATCTCTGTATTGTGTATCCGTGTCTCCCTCCCCTCACACTCCTCACCCTGGGAAAGGCCAAGAGCTCCATACACCCCGAGTCTCATCATCCTGTCAGGCTGAGTGCCATTAACCACAGGGTCGTCAGTCCACAGGCTCAGCCAGTAGTTTGAGAACAGGGAGCCCAGGTGATGGGCGAGGAACAGCAGCAGACTGATGAAGGACAGAAGCATTCCGATGGCTTTCAGATAGGCCCAGAACACAGAAAGCTTGACCTGGGAGGAAGAGGAGACCAGCTGGGATGAGGCTGTGGTTCGGACCATCACATGAATTCTTGAGCGTGACTTTTCCTCTAGAACCCACCTGTCCAGTACTGGCTTTGTCCGCCTCTGTCAGCTTGCCCACATCGGGGTTCTTGGTCTTCTTGCTCAGAATGTTGTCCTCCTTGCTTGTCTGGGACGGTTGGGAAACACTGCTGTCACCCGGACTGCTGCTTAAACATTGACATACAAAGAAACACACAAACAAGCATATTTGTGATAATGAATTCTTTGCTTTATATAATATACATCTACATCAAAGGTCTGCCCTCGGTTTCACACTCCGGTCTGGAAGCTAAGCAGGAAAGCTAACACGTTTGTTGGCTGGTGTAACTTTAGCTGAAATTATACAAAGAAAAGTTAATTAGCTGCATAAAATTACTACATACTTGGTTGAGAAAACCAGGTACAAGCTTAGAATAAACAGATGTGCAGCTCTGTCTTGTGCACATACTGTAAATCCTAATAGTTGAAATATATTTATATTAAATGTTGGGAAAAAGAAAGGACAGTGGTGATGATGGCAGAGCTGAGGTTTGTAAATTAGGGATGCAAACTACTCCTTTTATGCTAATGAGGGGAACGACGTGGCTCGTGGACATACGGAGCACACTGCTGACAAATTTCATTATACCCAAATTTGTATGCAACATGCGATATGTGCTGTTTTAAATGCAAATATAAAGCATTTCTGTCCGTTCTCTAATCACTCAGGACTTGAAGCTCTGCAATGTGAAATTCCTTTTATTCACTCTTGGCCAACGACACACAGAGCGGAAAAAGCAGCCTTGGCACGTCGGTTATGCTAATGAGCTTAAGAACATTCACCTCCTCATGAAGAGGTGCTGTTTATCGGGCTGAAACAAGGGATTTAGATTTTCGTTATTTAAGTTTGTCCAGTTAAGAGAGTTTGGTGACTCCACCTTGGAATACTCATCCAAGTAAAAAAAAAAAGAAAAGAAAAGAAAAAAAAGAAAAAAAACTCTGAGAACATTAGGATAAGCATACAAAAATGTTCTTGCATGAGGCACATTCTGTATTATTCTTAAAGGTCCAGTGTGTAATATTAAGGAGGATTTATTAACAGAAATGCAATATAATATACATAACTACATTTTTAGCGGATCCCCTTACACTGAAGTCGCCATGTTGCGCCACCATGTTTCAACCCTCACAACTAGATGCCACTAAAACACACTGAACCTTTAATGTTACCAAACCCCTTGCGCAGAGGCAAATCAACAATGACCGACAGGTGTTGTCAGTGTCTCCCGATACATTTTATTTCTCCTTGCCATAGAGATCTGTTGTTGTCCAGTATAACTCACCCAACAACAGCAGTTGCACTGCCATTCTCTAATTTTTCTTTGGTTCCACTCTTTGGTACAGATTCTAAATGTAGGAAGGAAACAGTTTTCATGAGAAAAGATTGATCCCTAAACATTCTCTGCAACCACTGCAACAAACTGAGATCCAAAACATTGTTCGTGTTCATGGAGCATTACAATTATAAACCTCTCCTTGTTGAAATTTAGCTAAATAAATAAAATACTTGTAAATTATGTATTATTAAATTTTCCACCTGACAGTCAAGATATAAAATCACTGCGGCTGTGTAAACGCAGTGTGTCTCACCAGTGTCATCGGTGTGCTCGACAGCAGCGTATGTTCGCAGAAACTCAGCGAAGGCGCCATCTTTGGCCATGAGCTGCTGGTAGGAGCCCATCTCTGTGATCTCTCCCTCTACCATGACCAGGATCAGGTCAGCCTGGGGCAGGTAGCTCAGCCCGTGGGTCACAAGCACACGAGTCTGCACACATCCACACACATTTAGCATGCTTGTGTGTAAAAGGTGACACCTGTACAACTTTAAAGTTAATCATTACTTTGTTCATTCCAAGTCCACACAATCATAAACATTTAAAAACCTTTCAAACAAGTGGTACCGGGCACCTGAAAGCTCAGCTGGTGGAGCAAGTACCATGTATCAAGGCTGAGGGCTTACTGCAAGAGCCTGGGTTTGAATCGGGCCCATCTCCTCTCTCTCCCCTGCCTTTTCTATCTCTCTTTATTATAATAAAGCAGAAATGCCCCCAAAAAAACAAAACACTACGGTGTTCCATACACGTCAAAAACCACAACATTTTGTACCAGATTGACATAATCTGTCGCACTAACACTTTACCCTTGATCCCCATCTGAGTGAGTCGTTTAATTCTGTTGGATGGATAAAATAAGATTTTTCCACAGACATTCGTACTCCCTTGAAGATCCATTCCAATGACTGGTGATTATTTTGACTTTTCCCTTAGCGCAACCCATAGGCTGAAATTTGTTTTTTATAGACTATTAGCACGCTAGCATTGTCACAGCAAGCATGTTAGCATGCTGACATTAGCATTTAGCTCAAATCACCACCATCAGTACAGCCTCACCAAGCCACTATCATGGTTGCAGACCATTAGTCTTGTTTACATTTATTTAAATTAAAAAGTTGTTGCTTTAACAATCAAAGAGGGACTGCACAGTGGATACCAGATGCTGTCCAGCTGAAAGGCCTGTAGGTTTTCTTGGCATAAAAATGACCGAAAATCCGGTAATTTGCACACATTCACATCTGTAACACTTGGTTCTCTATACTAGTCACTTGTTGCAAACTTTTTCACACTTTTTGTCTATGCTCATAATCTGCCTGCCTGTAAAACAACATAAATCAGTATGAATAATTAGCAATAAGCAGCAAATTGAAAATGTTACCATACAAAGAACCTTCATATGGTGCTTTAGGCTGTTGAAGCTTGAGATCATACACACCTTGTCCTTCAGCAGTCCCTGTGGGCCGATGACTTGATCAAAGATGTGTTTTCCTACGTGAGCGTCGACGGCAGAAAGCGGGTCATCCAGCAGGTAGACGGCGCGGTCACAGTAGACAGCCCTGGCCACGCTCACTCTCTGCTTCTGACCTCCAGACAGATTCACTCCCTGCACAGAAGAGAGACAGACAGAGATGCTGTACCTTGTGTGATGTCTATTTACGTTTTAATACTGCATAGGGCATTTCATAAATAATGTCTTTGAAGTCTCTAACAAATGTTAAAAAACACAAATTTAAATGGACTGGTTCTGCTATGGGGGTTGAAAACCGAAAGGACTAAAAGAGGAGAGAGGAACTACAAAGTGTATGTTCTGTACCTTTTCAAGATGTTATTGTGTTAAAAACCTTGGTGCAATTAAAATTTCATTTTAATTTTTTTGTGTAGAAAGCAGCTCAGATTTCTCACTTTAGACATGAAAGTCCTAAACCTGAACCCAAACTTGTGTTTGAAATCACGCAGCGGCAAATTAAACAATCAAAACAATTCATCACAGTTGAGAAACTTTCACAGAATTTTACTTCACATTGCAAAGTAATGTCAACCATCAGGCAGTGGAGCTCTCTTGATCAAAGTGTTTTAAATGCACATAACTTCGACAAATACCCTACATTTGTACCACTCCGCAGTTAAAGGTTCAGTGTGTAATATTTCTGACAGAAATGCAATATAAAGATCCATAACTATGTTTACAGTGGTGTGTATAGACCTTACATAATAAAGCTTTGTTTTTATTGTCTTAGAATGAGACATTTACATCTACATAACCCCATTCCATGGACGTCGCCACGTTGCATTGTCATGTTTCTACAGAAGCTGAAAACGGACAAACAGCGCGTTTTCTTACTACATTCTTCTTGTTCTACTTCTGAAGAATTCAGGCAGTGCTGACACTCATCACTATGTTGAATACGTACGTTAGAAGAAGAAGTAGTAGTAATGTTATACAGCAGGGGTCGGCAAATAAGTTTTGCATCAGAGCAACATTTTCTGACTTGCATCGTCATGTTGTTTAGTTAGCTCAGTTGGTAAGGCATAGGACTCTTAACCCAAGGGTTGAGAGTTCAGTCCTACCCCACAACTTTTATTTTTTCACCTCTCTTCAACAAATGGATTCTGCAGCGGATGTTTCTCAGGTCACGGCATGTGCTGCACTGTTTTTGTTTCGGTGTTTGAGCTACATCCACCAACCTAAGGACGCCTTTTCATTTCCCCAGTATCTCCAGGCAGAGGACATTCAGGGGATTCACGTTTTCTGACGGCTCTTTCAGAGGTGTGTCAAGCAGGCTACAGACTCTTAATATCGTTCAGAATTTTTCAAAGTAAAAGCTCAGTTCAACTCAAAATACAACATTGCCGTAAACAAGCTTCTCGTGCTTTTATTTTGTAGGCAAAACCACTAAAGAGGAAGTGATTGTGTGAGTAACTGTTGCTGCCATGACAGATCTATTTCTGCACCACTATCAAAGTATTTATTTATTTATATTTTAGATGCTATCAAAGCACCATAATCTGGCAGCGAGCCAGATATTATTGTTAGCGGGCAGTTTTGGTGAGGGTCCATAATCACAGAGAGAAATAATGTGTTTCCCTTGTCAGTACTTGTATAAACTTTATCTAATGTGTGGTTTATGATGGACTGTGGTGCAGAAACAGTGACAGTGTTTCACACTCTTGGTTTACATTTTCCATGTCACATCTGTCAGTGGCCAAGTCACAATAACATTGTTTTACTGAATAATTAAATACATTTAATTTCTTAATATATCTACCCAAAGAAAACTAATCTCTTGACTGGCCACTCTCTGCTATCTCAGAAGAGACATCTTTTGTCCTGTTCTCAGCCACCGTAGATGTCCTTTAATAAATGGGTAAGGGGCAGTGGTAGACTGGAAAGCTGGCTGCAATTCACAACCCTCATCACTAGATGACACTAAATCTTACACACTGAACCTTTAAACAGACTGCGTGATGATGAGTTGATACCTTCTCTCCAATCTCGGTCTCGTCTCCAGCAGGAAGGATCTCCAGGTCAGGCTGAAGGGCACATGCCTCCACCACACGCTGATACCAGGCCTCTCTCCTCTCCTGACCAAAAATTATGTTGTCTTTCAATGTGGAATTCTGGATCCAGGCTTGCTGGGGAACGTAGGCCACAGAACCCTGCAGGACGACACACACCAGCACGCACACGGTAAATGTCAAGGCATTCTGTAATGGATAGAACTCCCCAGAGGAGGATGAACCACTGCTTCTATGCTCCCACAGCCCATGGATGTGCGATTTTGTGATATTGTGGGGGAAAAAAACAGTACGATGTCATTATATACAGTGTGTTTCTCTCATCACCCTAACTCTGAGCGTGTCATCAACAAATCAAAACAAATAGAGAGTCACTCTATTGTATGTCAGGTATAAACAGGTAAACAGTGCCTGTAGTGTACACATCAGGATGTTAAGAAGATGTAAAAATCAAAACTGCACAATGAAATAGAGACTACAACGGGACGATACAAGTTTGTCACAAGGCTAGATCTACTGTAAAGATCAGGTGCTAAATGAACACTACTTAGTGTCCTCTCATGTGCATGTTGGTGTGTGTAAATGCTGCGTTCTTGCCTGATTTAATTGGACTCTGAGATATAGCGCACTTTATGAAACATATCTTTCATGGAATGCTTTAAGTCCTGAAAATGTCATGACAGTAAATCCATGTAGGAACAGCAGCAGGTTTCAGTGCACACTGTGGCGAGCAAGCGTCTCTGTGTCAGCATGTTCGTGTGAGAGAGCGAGAGCAGCCACCTTGACAGCCACAGTTCCTTCTAGTTTGTCCATCTCTCCGAGCAACGCAGAGAGCAGCGAGGACTTTCCTGAACCCACGTGTCCCACCACGGCCACCAGAGAACATTCTGGGATACACACATTCAGCCTGCAGACACACAGGGGGATTAACTCAGTCCACTTCCATTTAAGAAATATTAAGGTTCAATTCTTAATAAAGAAATCAATGTAAGTTTAGAAATACAATTTACTGCTTTGGGAGATGTTATGGGAAAATACACAAATGTTTTAATATTCCTTTAATTTAATATTCTTAAATATGAACTTGTATGATTTTAATTTTTTAATGTTACATTGTGTTTGATACTTTCTCTCCTGTTGCAACTAGGTGAAGGCAATTCCCATTAGAAAGTAGCTTGTTCGAGAGTTTTTTTTTAACTGACTGTCCTTGATAGGCCTTCATTTTTGGTTCTACAGATGCACCGAAATGAAAATTCTTGACCGAAGCCAAATATAATGAACTAACTATTTAATTAATGAATTGCATAAATTAAATAGTCAAAATGTGCTTTTTACTCAGGCTGTATCCAAAATCACCCACTACTCACTACATAGAGAGCTCACCATTTTAAAGGGCTGTCCAAATGTATATTGATAATTATTATCCCCTATATATTCCACTCAATGTATCCCAGAAAGCATTTTGAAAAGTAGTGTACAACCGATGGTCACTAACCAAGCCCTACATACCATCATGCATTGCCAACTGATTGTCCGACGGCAATGATGTAGTTAACGGTGGCGAAATAATGAGAATGAGTAGTGTTCAAAAGTGTTGTCTCAGACACTTTAAAATGCTTCCACACTGCAGACATGTCAAAACCTAATTGTTCAGTAAAATTTGTTTGGTCTTTTGAAATATTAGGCCAACCACCGAGTGATTTTACTCCAATTACGGCCGATTAATTTTGGTGGCCAAACATTCGGGGCATCCCTAGTTGGTTCCTACTCCCTTCCTCCCTAAGACAGCCGAGTAATAACCTTAGAGTGTAAATTCACCCGTTTCTTCACTGGCTCTTTGTCTTACATTCTGCAGACTGGTTGCACTCTGTATGATTGTCTGACCGTTTGCAAAGAATAAAACCCTTAAAGACGTCTGGATTGAAGACTTTCTGAATTTCAGAAGACTCACTAAAGGCCAAATTTCCATTACACCATGTAAAGTGCCTTTGAGTACCTGTTCTATAATAAATATATTCTAAATAAAATATAATAAATAAATTTTAAATAAATATATTCTTCTTATAATAATGATAATTATTATATGCATGTGAACATTTTCTTGAGGAAGGGATCTCAGTACCAACAAGAGGAGCATGTACACTGTGCGGGCATGTGAGTATTGTTTAAAGATAGTGTGGGCAAACCTGTTTTAACATTAAATTCTTTCTTTTTTTTTGCTGTTTATTCATGTGAATGCACTGAAGTATCGTGAGGAAAGCGACACATACTTCTTGAGTGTCGGTGATTCAGTTTTGGACCAGCAGAAAACTCCATCCACTATGGAGATACTGTATGAAGCTGGGAGGAAGAAAGAAAAGGTGTATTACTATACCTGAAATACCTCAATGTACAGATTTGTTGGTATCCTTACAGCTTATTGAAATAATGTGATACAAGTGAAGAAATAAGGCAAAGAAGCTGTGAAAAGAGATGAAGCATAGCTTATTCAACAAAGATTCTCTAAAAGAGCCTGGAAACATGTGTTGGTACCCTTTAAATAAAAGATAAAAGGACAGGGGTATTTCAAACGAATGGGTTTCTTTAATTAGTATCACACATGTCTCTAATCTTGGAGAAACATAGTCACTGTGCTGTATCATCGAGGGCACCACACTGAACATAGACCAGAGATAGCAAAGGAAGTTTAAAGGTCCATGCTGCTGTAACCAACATGCCTGGGCGCAGCCGCAAGAGGAAAACCAACCCAGGCTGAACAGAAGGACAGTGTAAATGCAAGAAAAAGAGCCAAGGATAAAGAGATACAAGCTGAACTCAAAGACCCAGGAGAACCCAATTTTTGAAAGAACATAGAAAAGCCAGATTGGAATTGACTAAAATGCATATTGCCATGCCACAATCCTTGCGGGAGAAATTTCAAGACTATCAAGGCGTTCTGCAGCGAAACGTACTGCCCAGTGTCAGAAAGCTGTCTCAGTCACATGTCACTGGTTCTCCAACAGGATAATGACATGAAAATCAGCTAAATGCACCCAAGAATGGATAAGAACAAAACAGTGGGACTATTCTGAAGTGGTCTTCAAAGTGGACTCAGGAAGAGTGGGCCAAACTACCTGTTAACAAGTCTCATTGAGAGCTACAGAAAACGTCTGGTGCAGGGATTGCCTTTAGGTTGCGCAACAATATATTAGATTGAGGGTCTCATCACTTTTGTCAATGCCTTTTTAATTTGTTTTCTTATTTAAAATATTATGTTGAATAAAAAATACAACAGCAAGGACTGATTTCAACAGTGGTGGATGCCAATGACTTTCATCCGTTTCAAGTTACTTCAGAGAAAAATGTGCTTTTTTTTGTGGATGGTACCAACAAATTTCAGCACGTCTGTACATACTGTTAATATAAAGCACAGGAAGGAGGATCTATACAACATGTGGGAATGTACAATTCTGAGAGAAGAAGGAACACTCAACAGACAAAGCAATAGGAAGAAAAGCAGAGGATAAAAAACAAAGACTCACAGCCTGCTACTGCTTTGTGCTCCACGCTGTCTTCCTGCAGCTCCTCATGCGATAGAAACACTCTCAGCCGCTTCAAGGACACGCTGGCCTGAAGACAAAGACCAGGAGAGACGAGGACAGTTCACACTGATTTAGTCATTTATGTTTAAATAGTTTAGTTTTGCCCACACTGGCATTTTCACAAGTTTCCCATCCACACTGAAACCCAAAACAACACAGTCATCATGCTTTTCTTTGAATTTACTGAGTTAGTGAGATGTAATGAATGAAAAGCTGGTGATTTCTTTCTGCTTTAAAAACAACCAGAAAACTAAATGGTATTTAACTCCTTTACTCACTTTGTTGTCTCACCACTGCTCCCTCTCTCTCATTAACTCCCAAGCTCACTCATCTCGTGTTGTAAGCTTGTTCGCACTCACTCTTTTTTAAAATGGAGTTGGGAATCTGACACCAAAACCTCGTTTTAAACATTAATGAACAAAAATAAATGCCCGCCCCTCTTTCTACTATCAATACTAGAATACTTTTTGGGAATGAAGCAGTAAACAAGTTGAAGCACCCGCATTGTCTGACCAATCAACGACCTGGTGGAAACACTCTAAAAAAAAAAAAAAAAAAAAAGACATTGTGCTGCTCAACTGAGCGTGTGAATGGAGCCACACCAACCTGCACCATACTACTGATGACCATTGGCAGCATGTTGAGAGGAAACCGCAGGATATTGAAGAGAGCAAGAGACACAAAGGCCTTCTGAGCGTCGAGCACGTTATGTTCGTCGATCAGCACGTACACTGTGAAAGTGGACAGGGCGACCTAGTAGGAGGGAGAGAGCAAAAGATTGGAATGTGACCACTGGACATCTTGTCGTTGCGTCATCTTGTCCAGTCTATATAGATGCTGGTGCTGGCTTGGGTGTCTGTACTAGCAGCATCATGATGCCCTGTCCAGATGATGATGTCCTGTACAATTTTGAATGAACCCGTGCACTTAATTTGTACATTGTGGTGCGTGTCAATCCCACTGTGCTGGACTCACCAGGAAAGGTGCACAGACCCATGTGAAGGTGGACACTGCACCCAGGTAGGCGGCCTTCTTCAGGACCAGCAGCTCACTCTCACGGATTTTTGACACCTTGTCCTTAAAAGCCAGCTCCCAGGCGTACAGCTTCAGCACCTTGATGCCATTAAGCATCTCATTCATCAGTTTAATGCGACTGTCTTTACTCTTCATCTGAGCCACCTGCTCGACACACACAGGCACAAAATATTTAAAGAAACGCATAAGAGCCACACAATGCCACAAACTGTTAACTGTGGATCCTCAGTGCTAGCAACTTGGCTGAGTAGGACCTGTGTAAAAAGTGCTCTGTCGGATGTGTCACTGCACATATTACCTAACACAATGCAGAGGTCTTTGAACCATCAGAACATTAAAAAGGGGACAGGACACAAGTGGACCTAGTCATGAAGTGAAGGGAGGGAAGTGAAGATTTTTGTGACAATGTGTGTTTGTGGAGTCCCACCTGGTAGGTTTTGGTTTTCATGGCGATGACAGCATTCACAGGAACCATCAGAACCATTACAGCCACTCCAGCCAGTACTGATGGCCCCAGGTTCTGTACAGCAACAGATAAATATCAATGAAACCACATTAAGGATTTCCACTAACACTGCACTGACTACAGGGATGCATTAGAATAACTGAACAAAACAAATAAGCAGCCTGGCCTCCAGCAGACTGTGCTTCAGCACACATATTTGCACTGTAGTTTCCAGATTGCACACAAAAAAAAAGGCAGGATGCAGTTACAAGAGGTTACGTTCACAGTCAAGAATCTGCCCGCATCAGACTACCTCGGCATGGAGCTGTTGTTGGTTACAATGGTGAACTTGGATATGCATGACAGTCTATATATTCAATTCAATTTTATTTATATAGCGCCAAATCACAACAACAGCAATCCTACCTGCCAGAGAAAGTAGAGGGCTAGCACCACCTGCAGAGGGGCAGACCATATCATGTTGATGTAAGTGATAAGGTCCATGAAGCGCTGAGCGTCCACTGACATCAGGTTGACGATCTCTCCAACTGTGGAGGTGCGGCGTGCTGCGCTGCTTATAACCAAGGCCTGAAAGAGCACATCCAGGGAGGGAAAAGTCCCTACAAAGGTTAGAGTCCAGTTGTAAATTTACAGCCAAAGCATGCACAGCTGACCAGGAGAGTAATAAACCATAAGTTAAATAAAGTTCAATCAACTTTATTTTTTATTATTTTTTGTACCAAGAATATCATGCTGGACAAATAAAACATGCAACATCCTCTTCCAGGGTGAAAATAGAGGAAGGAGTGAGCGCTACCTGCTTTGTAATAAGACTCATTCACTTCAGTGCTTGTTACTCAAAACAACTAACAAAGCATTAATTCAAATGTGTAACTAACCAACATCATGTTTTAGTTATTTTGCCGTCATTTTATCTGTTAATTTCAATTAAATCCCAGCAATTAGTTTAATTTTGGTTCATACCGCTCTAGTAATCGTGGGTTATGTTTATTCGCATTATCGCATTGTATGTCAACACTTGTCGAGTAGTCCAGCGATAAAACTCGCGCGAGAAAAGTGTTTGGTCTTGCACAGCAAGTCTGTAATTTCACATCTTTCTGTCATTCTTTGTAGACACATTCTAAAGTCACTTGTAAGTAGCATTTGAATTTGCCTGTACCTTCCTGTAGACAGCTCCGATGATGGCAGTGCGCAGGCGCATGCCTGAGACAAAGCAGACGTGAAAGTACTTCTGGAGGATGAGCGACTGCACACAGGTACATATGAAGAGCAGAGCGGTGTAGAAGTAGCCCTGCCAGGACGGGGCACTGGAGTTGTTGACGAAGCGGATCAGCAGCCTCAATGGGATCAAATTAAGAAAATAATCAATATATGGACATGTTTACACAAAGCCATTTACATTTATTCATTTAGCTGACGCTTTTATCCAAAGCGACTAACAATTGCTAAAGATGTCAGAGGTTGCACGCCTCTGGAGCAACTAAATACATTGGTGGATGTGTTGCAGTGGGAATTGAACCCAGGTCTCCCACACCAAAGACATGCCTATTCCCACACAATTAAAACACCAATAAACACTCCACAAATCAGTCTGTCCACAGATGAGTCATCACCAGTTCCTGTGTCCATCCTCACACAGACCAAACCTAATGGTGTGTTCAGGCAGGTCTGGACTGTCCTTGTCCTCGTCAGCTCTCATAGGAAATGTCCAAAAGTACTCGCAGAACTTTGCCTTTGGATGGGATTGTAAATACCAGTGGCAAGATCCATGGAAGCATAACCATTAACCTTTTCACTCCATGACACGATGGTTAACAGGCAAAAATGTCAGTGGAAATAGATGACTAAGGCCCTAATAAACAACATCTTACAAAGTGTTAGACTTACATTGATGAATTTAGCTGTGCAACTATTGTACCACACACTACCACAAGAATGTATTGCATGCAAAGGATAGCACACATCTCCACTGCACACCCACTTTTACTGATTCCTATGCCAAGAGGTGTGGCAGGTTAATGGTGTGTCTAGCAAGATATTTCTCTCTGTAATAAAGTTGCAAATGACAAACATCCAAACTGCTAACAGGAGTCAACAACGGATTTCTCATTTATTATCATCATATTTACAAAGCCACCCCCCCTCCCCCACCTAGGACAGTCTGACCACCTTTCATTGCTCCTACTCCCCAAGTACACCCCACTTATCAAACATGTGAAACCTACAGCAAAAACAGTTCAAGTGTGGCCAGAGGGACTCTGTACTACAGCACCAGACATGAGTGCCACCACAGTGTCACCACATTGAAACAGATAACAATAAGCCAATCATAAGCCATGGATGAACAGAGAGGTTAGCCTACTGATGAAGGCATGCGACACTGCTTTCAGATAAGGTGATGCTCAGGCCCACAGGTCACGCAGGGCTAACCTGAAGAGGGGTATCGCAAGGGACAAGCACAGCCTCAAGCTAAGGATTGAGGTGCCCTGAAAAAAAAACAACTCTGACGCACAGCAAGGAAGACCATCATCGATTACAAACCCACCAACGCCACCAGCAACACCTCTTTCCCTAATGAGCTCAACAGCTTGTTTTCCCAATTTGACGGGCACAATCAGGAGGCGGCAGGATAGTGGCCCTTGCATGCGGGCTCAGCACCTGTGCTCTGCCGCTGACTGGGGTCTTTACGGACATCTTCAACCTGTGACTGGCCCAAGCAGCTGTCCCCACGTGCTTTAAACTCAGTGACCTTGGTATCAACACCTCCCTCTGCAACTGGATACTCCTTAACCCTCACCCTGAACATCGGCACCCCACGGGGCTGCATGCAGAGTCCTCTCCTCCAAGGTCTTCTTGGTCCACAATGATATCCTCAGTGTGGAAAGGTGTGGTCCCTGGATTGGAGCCTAGCTTTTGCTTGCCCTCCAAAATTATATTCTACCCACTTTCCCTAAGATCTATGAAAGGTACATATATTAACCCCAGATATACCGAATACATTGTCATTTTATATAAATCAAATCATGCTACAAGCCAATTTCATCTTGTTGTTTTTGAAAAACAGAGGTTTCTCACCGGAGGATCTCGGGCCCAACGAACATGAGGATGTCCTGGATGATCTTATAGAGGCAGGAGATGAGGAAGTAGGGCCCAAAGGTCAGGCACAGCGCCCAGAAAAGGGAAGGCTCCTTTGTTTTCTTGGGGGTTTTTACAATCAGGATTTCAGACTCTTCCACAGCTTGGCCCTCTTTGCCCTCACTGTGCAGGACCCGCTTGGGGGAATACAAGGTTTTCTGCTCTGTCCTGTGGAGAGAATGGGAGGAAACGCAGTTTGCTTCAAATAAATATTCTAAATAAACAGTATGTTGAGAGGAGAGTCACAAATAATTTGTGGGATTTTTTTTCCCCACTCAATGGCACTAAAACTTGGAAGTGCAGGAGGGGGATGGTATTGTGAAAATCAATAAAAACTGAAGAAAAATGAGTTTTAAGGGAAGTTATATAAGTGAAGGCATATCCCTCTTGTGAGAGTGTCCGAAGTGCCACCCACCATCGTCTCACAAAATCCTGAGGGAAACACTGTCAAATCTGGCAATGTTGAATATTTCTGTCGATTTCAGTAGTCATTCCCTGCTGTACTGAGATCCTAACCTTTTGACCTTTTGGCACTCTGTGTTCCAGCGACACACCAGCTGTGGAACCACTCTCTGGGAGCGGTCCTCAGAGTTCAGGGACCACAGGTCCTTCTCCTCCAGTGGGCGTTTGTAGCCCGTCACCATCATCCTGAGAGAGACAAGAGGGGAGGTAGGAGAAAGAGGGAAGCAATTTAGTCTACTGATACAACACAAAGGATTCAGAAGTACAATCTGAGACACAAGCAATCTCTGAGGATATCCGGATAACAGATCTGAATGCAGATACATTTTTTAGAAAGCTAATCTCTAGGATCCCATACAACTCTGACAAACAGAAACCAGAGCACTTTCGAAGTGCAAAATCCTGTCTTGCCTTGCCTACAAATCTGCATTCACTACGTGGACATCTTTGAATACAGATTAATGCACAAGTAAGGACGAAGTACATGAAGTACCACCACACGTACCTCCATCATCAGTGTAATTAGGGATGGGGATCGTTAATTTTTATTGTTATTGATACCCTTATTGAGACTGCCAATTCTTTATCGATAACACTACAGATACTGTATTATTATTAGACCAGACCCAACGGGCATGAGGTAGGCCTGCACGGTATGAGGAAAATATTCAATGTGCGATAACATTGCTATATATTGAGATGACATATGACTTGCAATAAAAAAAAAAAAACACATAGTGAAGTGTGCCTGGTTGTTTTAAATTATTTATAGGATTAGAATTTAATACTTTAAATACAGCTAAATGTTTCTACAGCAGCAACATTAATGTTTACAACAGCAAAGTCACTATATATAAACTCAATATCTGAAATTTAGAAAGAATAAAAACTTAGTCTGTATCAGTCCCTCCTCCTCTCTGCCATCTGACATCTGTTAATCACTGCCTGCTAACCTGGTAGAAGGAGGAGCGGCTGGTTTGTCTCAGCCAGCAGCTGAGTTTTTAAACAATGTGCCAGATATTAAGACTACAGACCAGTCTATGCTCCAGACAGACCGCTTTCTATTTAGCTTGTTTTTAACATTTGGCTCATTGCCAAGTTAACATTAACTGTGCTTCTGAAAAACAAAACATCTACAGGATGACAGATTGAGGACAGAGCTGATTTACCTTACAGACAGGTGTATTGATAAAGTACTGTCTTTTTAGTCGGGAAGGTTTTATTGCACGTACTTGCTGTGTGTGTGTGTGTGTGTGTGTGTGTGTGTGTGTGTGTGTGTGTGTGTGTGTGTGTGTGTGTGTGTGTGTGTGTGTGTGTGTGTCATCATTAGCAAGATTAGCTTTCTTATCCATTGCGTTTCAAGATAAAGCAATTTTGAAGCTTGAGACATAAAGTAACAGACCCGTTAGTCTCGATAGCAATATCGATAAGCCCAGACCTTTTGATTTTCGGGTTTTGATAAATTTTGGAACCGGGTCTTGATTCCCATCCCTAAGTGTAATCCTCTCTATACTTTAGTAAAGATGTCAAAAAGGTGCACACTGGATTGAAACATAGCCTGCAACAAATATTTACCAAAAAAAGCCCCCACTTTTAGATTATTGTTAAAAGATATTGTTATCTCCTGTCTTCTCTGTCTCACAGGCTCAGCGACATGACATTTCAGTCATCTGACAAGAGTCATCTGACCTTGACTCTTACTATTTAGATTTTTCCACATGTGGTTTTTCCCACTGAAGAATAAAACATGGGAAAGCTTAAGTTCACACATGCACAACAATATACGGGTGCATGTAAAAGCTTTGCAAGTTATTTTGTTCGACTTTTACACCCAAAAAAGTAAAGGCAATATTATACTGTGGGGAAAAGATGAGTTCGGACTGGGTCATTAAAAGATTCCTTCCTAACATACTTCCAATGGAAGTGATGTGGGACAAAATCCCCAGTCCTTGTTCTGTGCAGAAATGTACTCCAATAATTATCTGAAGATGATGTGAGGCTTCTTAGGCAGTCTGAGTTAGACAAATCAAGAGCAGATCTCCTTGTTAAGTTCAGAATTCCTTCTTTGTGTTTCCCTGGACAGTGTTTCCTGGCTGAGCCGCAGTGGGGGGGGTAGTATCAGAAAGAGGACATTTCCTACAAAAAATAGTTCCTTCTAATTTCCCTTTAATAACATCAAAAACAACCCATGCACAGTATCTAACACGTATATTTATTTGAATCTTCCCAGTGAATAATAAGATAAAGACAGCTCGACAATGGAAGTAAGTAAAGAATCTCTTCATTAGACTGCACTTTCTTCTGACACACGCAAATATTCAGACTACATTCACACCACTGGGATTTTAATCCTCTGCTTACCTGGTGATCCACCAGAAGGTTATTCTGGAGAGGAAAGAAGCTCCAGGCTCAGGGCAGGGATTCTGAAAACAAAACCATTATGGTAAGACCCAAAGGATTGTTCTGCTGCCGAGACCCTGATCAGCATTTGAGATGGGCTGATTAGCGAGTAGAAGGATAGATGCAGTCACTGTGACTACACGCTACACATCGAGGATGTGAGGCAAAAGTTACTGTGTGAGGGGAAAGGGAAGGGTGCATGCAGGAAGTTAGTAACTGTTGTCTGGCTGCTGATATGACCGCTCACCAACACGGTCGGCAGGTGGAGCTGCAGCAGGCACACACGGCTCATGGAGGAAGTTACTTAGCTGTCTCGATTTTGTTTGATTGGGGGTCCAGAATGTCAGACTTTAAAAACCTCTGCTCTAGGCCAGGAGGTTTAAGCCATAGAGCCCCATTAGAGCGCTCCATCGGTGTTCATGACACTTGAATGATAAGACATAATTCTAAGACTTGGCTCAATGCAGCATCCAAGTGGGAACACAATTTGAAGACGTTTTGTGGCTGTGTTGTTCAGCCTCAGCACTGCAAACAATAATCCACATTTACAGAAAAGTGTCAACGTTTTTACTCCTCAATATAAAGGAGTGACTGAGTGAGAAACATAAAAGAGAGGAGCAGGAGAGAAAGAGTGGTCTCACCGGGTCTTTAACGGCCTGGGAGAAGAGGGCCAGCTGGTCCGTCAGGGAGGACAGGAACAGAGCAACCAGCAGCAGGGCATAGTAGATATAGAAGGTGGTGTACCTCCAGACACACACCGTCAACGGCTTTAAAAAAAAAAAAAAAATCAAAAACAGATCAGGTTTTTAACCCATGGAACTTGCTGGAGTAAGATATTGCTTTGTTTGTGGTACATTTGCTATAATATTTAAAAGGTAACTGTGACTATCAAATGTCACACCACACCAGTGACATATCCAGAAGTTTGTCCTGCTCATTCAAGACTGACCTGGTCCAGGGCCTGGAGGATCTTAGACCTGAAGGTGACTGTGGCACAAAGCAGAGCCAGGAGCCAGTAGATCAGCATTACTCCAGACGACTGAACCCCTTTCATCCGTTCATACTGGATTAACAGAGCGGCCAGCAACTGGAGCACACACACGTTTCAACACATTTATACATTATATTCAAATATTACTCGAAACAAACACTTCTTACTTATTATTATATTATTACTCCAAGCTTCCTTCCCTGTGGAAATAATAAATAGAATAAAGAGAAAGTCAGTACATATTGCCAACTATGGTCCAGCTAAAAAAGGTTCATCTAGTCTCCAATACAGTCAGAGAACCATTTCTGTCGGCAGCCCTGCTTTGTTCCACTTTTGGTCGCAACCCTACCACCTTCTTCACAGGCTCAAAATGTTTAAATAAATTTATTTATTTTTAATTTTGCCAATTTAACCAGGTAGGCCGATTGAGAACAGATTCTCATTTGCAACGGCGACCTGGCCAAGATGAAGCAAAGTCGTGCAGCACAACATATAATTACACATATATATACAAAATACAAATGCATAATGTATTGTCTATAAAAGTCTTTTCAGAGAGGTAGGTCAGTTGGTATTCAAAGTGGTATTACAGTAAAGAGTAACACTTGAGCATGTCTGTGTAAAATGGTAAAGGTTAAACAAGATGTGATAACTATGCAGATGAAAGTGCAAATACGCCAATTTGGCAAGACAGAGACAATAAAAGCAAGAAAGTAAAAAAAACTTTATAATCAAAACAAGAAACCAGTTCTCTTTATTTTCTTAAAAGACTGCAACCTTATCTTGAACACACTGGATGGATTACATATCCCATCAGGCCTGGGAATGCCTTGGGATTTCATTGGAGGACACAGAAGTAGCAAGAAAGGAGTCTAAAGTCTGGAGTAGTTTGTTTAACCTGCTGCTATGGAACTGGAGTTGAGTAAGAGTCAGATAATTAATAGAGGAACAGACTAACGTTGTTTACAGTCCCACTGTCAGTGGACTGCATTTAATTGAAAATCCATGGCTGGCAATAGCTTAGCTCCAAACCTTTTTTATTTTGAGCTGTGCACAAGAACCTTCACGTGTTTGCATCACATGATCTTTACTGTGTGCAAATAAACCACATTTTCTCCTTAATCACACCTTTATTTCTGCATGATGATGCTAGTTAACTAAACCAAAACAAGTCAAACTCGTCTAGTCAAACTAGTCATTTCCAAAAAAGAAATAAATACAACCACATTAAAAAAAAAAAAAAAACCTACAATAACAAAATCTAAGATCCAAAACATTAGAGAGGCGATGGGTTTCTCATTGAGACAGCCTCTGAATATAGATGACGAAGACAAACTCACCATGCTGAGGCCCAGTAAGGTTGGACTGACTAGGTGTACGGGGGCTGGGACGCTGCTGCCATGACTTCTTTCCCAGAAAGAATAGAATACATCTGACCAGCAGATAATCCATAGCAGGAGGCTGACAGCCTGTGGGGAGAAAAACAGCTCACAGCTTTCTGTCTGGTTGTAGATTCTGTCTGATGTCAAACACTGTACAAGTGATGTATTATTGTTAGAGTGGTGCACACTAGTACTCTAATTCCCTACCACCGCCGATCACGGCTAATGTTACCTGTAAACATCAAAAGGTACACTGGAGTGTGTTTGACAGCTGACACTGTGTCAGGGTCTCAATGAAAACCTCTTTCACTGAATTTTGGATTTCAGACTAACATGGTGACACAGGTCCAACCCGTGTGAATGGTCTCTCTGAATGGGTCTACACACTTCAGCTGACCCTTCTGTGTGAGCATTAATTTATATATTTTATTTCATTTCACCAGGACAATCCACTCAGTATAAATACTGCTTTCCAGGTAGTCCTGGGTACATACATTACAAAGAGGTCATATTCTGCTTTTTCCCTCTCCTTCATTAACTTAATGTAATAGTGAAAAAGCCCAAAGTCCAGCCCAAAGGGAGTTCCCATCTCCCACAGAAACACTGCTCTGTACTGCCTGAAAACAGCTCCTTTCTAGTCCAGCTGCTTCCCTTTCATCCTTGTGACATCACAGCAAAATGCTCATAATGCTCGCCAAGCGGCTAGTCTGACATTCCCTCAGAAACACCGGTGGAAAAACAGTGAGCTGCAGCACACAGCTCTCCTCTCCCTTCCAAACACTAGCTACCCTCCAGGCAGTCAGTGGACATAAAGTTGTTCCTGTGATGTAGAGACAGAGCTCAGTTAAACTTTATGTATGACATATACGTTTGTTGTAGATTAATAACTGTCTAAAAATGTACCCCCCACCCCCCAACAAATACCGTTTCATAATGCACACTAGATTTTTGAACACGAACCACCTCTTGTCTAATATGATCAGAGCCTTAAACACGTCTTCTGTGTGTATTAGTGTGCTTCAATAACACAAGATAACATTGAGAGAGTAGAAACAATTAAACAAACAATATGCGTCCCTTGCACAATTAGAAAAATGACTCCTCAGTATAATCAAGGGTCACATTACTCACAGTTTTAGCTTTGTTGAGGTGACTCATACATATGTAGCCTCTGTCATGGCTGCGGAGGTAGAGGAGGTAGATGGGCGCACACGTCCAGAGGTAGAGGCATGGCAGCCACACTAGGACAGTGTTCTGAAAACACTGGGTGAGGTCTGGGTTAGCTGTGTACCATGTACGGTTCCAATCCTGGAAGACAAGACAAAAGAAGAGGATAAAGACAAATAAACATTGAGATGTTAATTAAAGACACTACCTGAGTAACTGAACGCCAGCTGAAAATGATCCTCTGTGGACCTTCACATAATGTCACATGTAGTCTCAGGTGCATGAAACTGCAATGATCTATTTTGGCCATTAGGGGCATTAGGGCTCTTGTTCTCTCTTGAACTCCGAGTATCACCTATAAAATTTCACCCACATGGCATTTACTGTGTAAACTATGGAAAATGGACGATATTGTGGAGGGCCACCACAAATAAATCCACGCATGAGAAACACTGAGATTTCTGCCTAATCACAAGTGTTGTCAGTTAGTTTCATTTTCCTCCTTATCAGAGCAATAACATAATGTACAGCAGAGTATAGAGCAGCTAGACTTTTTTTTTTTTAATTATGAATTCTCATTAAATGATGACATTAGTCTCGTAATAATGCACCCTTCTTCCAGACATTTAACGAGGCTACTTCCCCAAACAAAGACACAATAGAGGGAGGACTAAATAATGCCTGTATTACATGAGAAGTTGATCTAAAGGAGAAACTTTTAAAAGTAACACAAAATACCTGAGAGCCTTACTGCATTGCATTGTGTTCTATTTTAAAATTTTATCTGCCACCTGAATTGTGTATGTGTGAAATCACTTTCACCATAAGATGGTGCAGACATTTTCACCAGAATGCAGAAAAAGAAGTCTTCTATGCTCTTAAAAGTTTCTGGAGGATGACCCACTGACCCCCCACTGAAACTTAACAGATGGGGGACCTGCATAATGGACAAAAAGGTTGAAAACCACCGCTTTAATACCATCGAGTCAACTGATTCAATGTTCCTATCAGAATATATAACATTTTTTATAAAAGACAATGTGACCTTTGGGCTACGTTGTTAACCTATGAAATGTTAGTGTAATTTCCGAATTTAAAAAAGTTAACCGGCAAAGTCATACAGAACTAATATTGAAAGAAAGGTCCCCCATCGTGCAGCAAAGGGTAGAACTCAATGTGGCGGACCCTCCGCATGAACGTGCAAACGAAGTGGAAGTAGGTAGGGAGAGGGAGGAGCAAGCAGTTTCGGAAAAGCCCTCTGTCTCTGCTGATGAAAGTGTCGCCTGCTAAATATCTTTCACATGCCTGGAGGTTCATGCTCATCACCCCTCCAAGCCAGGAGTTGATCAGGTGCTTTGACAAAGATAGGATCCCACACTGGTTTACCACCCACAGACACTTAAAACACCTGACCAGGTATTGAGCCTAATCACTCTAGTGTTGTTTAATGAAGACTATTGGTGCTTTTTATTAACACCCTGTAAATCATAAGTGCATTTATCTGTTACTTGTTTTTAGTTTCCGATCAAAGTATTAGGCCTAGTGTGTGGTCATGTCTGAATAAAAAAAAACAGTCCAAGTCTTGTTCCTGACTGTGGAGCAGTTTAACCTTTGCTCGCCGAATTTATTGATAATAAAAGAAATAAATGAAATATATCTGAAACCAGTGGCTAGGGTTAGGTGGAGCTGAAGTTCATGGACCAAAAGACTAACTCACACTTACTCTCTCTCTCTCTACCAGATAAATCCTAGATCAGTAAATTCAGCAACTTATGCTATGAAGCTTACTTCCTCGGGAGGAGGTATTCTTCAACACACTGTTTCTCTCCGACTCCTCCCGAAGCAGCTGTCTGACACAACTTTTTATTTCCTCATTCATACAGTCGATATCAATACACTTATTGGAATGCATTCATATGCAGATAATTACGTCTTTGATTAGTCACACTGATGGAACATTCCTATCATAGTGATCATGTTGGAGATTATGTAAATATTTGAGTGATGGTGGTGCGGAAACCAGATAAATGGATAAAACAGACGTCTAACACTTTACAGTCAGTTTGAACCTACAGACATTTCCAATGCGAAAAATAATTAGGCCTAATACTATGTGTGACTGTGACTTTACAATCATAGGTACATGAGATTAAACTGCTCTTTATTTATCTGTCGCCATGGTGAATCATAGAATCGGAGCTCCATTGATGATGACTTTTTTCATCCCCACTCAGAGATCAGGGTTAAACTCAGAGTTTGTTAAGCCTGCTTTCTGAAAGCAGGCCCTGCACTTGTCAAAGCTGACTACAATGGGAAAATTTACTAAATAGTACTCTTGGCTAGGGCTGAACAATTTGGGGAAAAAATCGAATTGCAATATTTCTGCCAGATATTGCGATTTGATTTGTTATTTGTTGCTTGTTTTAAAGAGGTGGTATTCTGCTCATTTTCAGGTTCAAAATCCTATTTAGAGGTTGTACCAGAACAGGTTTACTTGGTTTAATTTTCAAAAAAACACCATATTTTTTGTCATACTGCACATTGCTGCAGCTCCTCTTTTCATCCTGTGTTGAAGGCTTCGTTTTAGCTATGGAGTGATACATCTGGTCTCTAAATGATCTTTGTTGGGAGTTGCACATGTGCAGTTCCTAGTTAAGGACTACTAGCCAATCAGAAGCAGTTTTAAGACAGTTCAGAGCAGAGTTTTCTGTGGGAGATGGGAACTCCCTTTGGGCTGGACTTTGAGCTTTTTCACTTTGCAAACCTAGTACATGCGGAAAAAAAAATAGGTATATAATTCAATAAAAGGAGAGGGAAAAAGCCTAAAGCCATAATACCACCTCTTTCAGTTTAGCTATTGTTCATTATTCACTGCCAGTCAATTTCCGACGCAAGCCACATGAAGCAGCGCAAAGCAGATGAACCGGGGAGGAAGTCAGACTGACCGAAAACGAAGACTAAGGAAATAAGAAAACTAGATGTGAAAAAACATTATCATTAACTGAAATAAAAATAAAAATGAGGCTTTGCAAAAAAAACGACAACTAAAACTGTGTTGTAGGTTTGCAAAACTAACTAAAACTAACTACAATTAAAGAGTAAATGTCCTTAGTTTTCGTTAATTTATTTATTTTATAGGACCTAATAAGCCTACATTTTGAGTAGATATGAAGCCGGGGGAACTGATGTTCCAGGGCAGTCGATCTGGCTGGTCCGGCAGTTCAGCAGTGCGCGCGGTGATTAGCTGATATGCGGCTGTTGGTGAGCCGCGGGTGTGTGATTTTGTCCTCCGTGTGAAAAGCTGGCTTTTTGATTAAAAAACAATGCAGTTTAATAAAAAAAAAAAAAAAAAGCCAGCTAGGGTAGTTTGCTTTTTATACTGTAGACTTCATATATAAAAAAGGATCACCCTTTTCACAAATATTTCTGATTGTACTTGTATTTTAATGTTTTGTGAAAAAACTAAACTGAACTGAGCTTGGCATCGTGTAGTGACAAAAACTAAAACAGCATTTTTCAAAAATAAAAATTAAACTAAAATTAGCAAACCCACATTAACAATTAATTAAAACTAAACTGAAATTGAAAACAAAAAGTCAAAAAGGAAATAAAAATAAAATTGAGAAAAAGAAACTATTTAACTACGTAGCCAACTTAACTATGGTAGAAGCACAAAAATAAAGGACAACTGAACAAATCAACAAAATCTGAACAAGTCAGCAAAATCAGGCAGGCAAAATGCTCTTATTCTGAAATGCTCCATGGGAAATGTAACTTTTCTTCCATGACCTTGTATCTCATATTAATTGGATGTGTGGGTGAAAGATGTATTAGTCTGTTTGTGTTTATTATGCTGCTCTCTTGGCCAGGTCAATCTTGAAAAAGAGATTTTAATCTCAAAGAGACACTTTATTACATATATTTTTTTTTTTCTTCTTTTTTTCCCCCCAACTTGCTGACATAATTTCATCATACCTTGCACACTGTTAGAACAAGCATGGCTGACAGCAAAAGGTAACACTGCCTTCAGTAGGGTTGTAGTGGTTTGGTTACAAAATATACGAAACATATATGAAACGTGCATATTTACTGTAAGGCGATAGGTAGGATAATGGTGTTAAGGGGTTTCATAAGGATTTTATTACAAACTAACAGCTATGGAAGTTGTGAGAAAATGTCCAATACATGCGAGTGGTAGTTGGATGTCAATACATTCATAAATGTAAAACCGTGAAATGTGCTTAATAAAGGAAACGGGTCACTGATGACTCTGATCTGCTGAGTTTTTTTAACTTGTTGAAATGGGTCGTATTGCACTTTTACGACGGTCCCTAAGGTCCCGCAGTGACAGCGCTGGTCAGACATTCGGTTATTTGCGCTGAACTACGTCGTCATCTTTGGTCATTTTCAGTTGATCAAAACTGTAAAACCTCTGCCTATATCGGCTCTCCAGCATATCCCAAAACTGTCAAAACTGGGAGAAACCGAGGCTTTGAAAGCGACCTACTCAAGGTAACAGCAAGGGAAACTCACGAGTGTCAAACAGAAAACGAACGAGACAACGTTAGGGTCTCGATTGGTTTATTTCGTGTCCCCAGCTTCGACGTCTGTGCCTGGCTTCACGTCTACGCTGAACACAAACGACAGAGGAAGCTTAATTTGGTTTGAGTTCATTTGTTTGACAGAGCATACCTGCGGTTAATCGCTGCAACGCCAGATTTGGTCCGGGGCTGTCATGTTGTTTACCGGCGAATGGTTGCGGACAGCGCGAACACTGGAGGAGATGGTTGGGGTCGCGCGCGAGATAACTATACCAGCCTCAAAATCCCTTTTGTGGCAGAGCGACTTGATATGAGCTGCGTTAAGCCATTTTAATCACGCTGAGTGGAGCCAGGCTACCCTTACGTAGGACTGTTGTTAGTTACCGAACTTACCGGGACTAGGTCAGGTCTATCAGCATTGTGCCGGGTAGCTAATATTGATAACAACGGCTGGACAAACCTTTCAGATAAAGCAAAATACATGAAGGTCCTGAAAATAAACTCACCCAAAATGGATCGGAACTGTCCAGACTGCAGAACTTGTCAAACCCCATTCGCCGCGAGATAATGGAAGTTCAAGTCCGATCTGTTTGCAGTGTTTTCAGTGCTCAGCTTTGGTTTTGTAACCGGACGAAAGCGGAAGGTTACTTCTTCGTCCTTTTCTTCTTTGGTAGTTTACAAACTAACGCGAAAGGTGTATACTGCCACCTGCTGTACTAGAGCGTATACCATGCAGGCTTTAGGTTCCTTGAGTCTGGTAAGAAACCGTTACAAACCTCACATTTGTCACACTGCTTTTTGTTTATTAGAAATCTTAAGCCCTGTAGGTCCTAGCCTGAGTCTTAAAACAAACAATAGAAACCTCTGACATACTCCAAAAGCCAAATTTCACTGCATATCAATTGCTTTTTGGTATAAGCAAAACTGCAACACAAGTGTCAAGCAATATAGCTAAAATAAACTACATTACTACAGCAGAATCTGAACAAATAATAGACAGCTCAGTTCTCTGTAGACTGATGATATTAGTTCCGCTGTAAAGATATGCAGTTTATTGGAAACAATATGTTTTAACAACATTTTCGGTAAATTCTGGCGTACACGGTATGTGCCTTGGTCTGAAGTTGTTTTTTTTTTTTTATAATATTCTTTAGCAAGGCTGTAATCATAATATTGGGGACCCCCCCCCCCAATATTTCAATACGCTCAAAAAATATGCCCTACATTCTGTGCATAGCATAACGTAACTTCAGCCAGGACACGTATGAAAGACAACGTTAACATCCGCCATCAGTGTTTCATCATCATCTCTCTCTCTCATCCAATGGCAGCTGGGATTTTTGCTCCAGAGCCCTAAAATGGATTAAACGAGTTCTCCAACCTCACCCTGTCCCCTGTTTGCTTCATAGTGATTAGCATAGAGCAGAATTTTTATACTTGACATTTTTAATCCTCAAATCTTACAATGGCTATTTCTTTCTAAATAGTATGCAATATATGGATATACACTCTCAGAGATCTTACGGGTACCCTTCACAACATACTGTCATACTGTAGTGAAGGCTGAGAGATCTTATTTTCCAAGTGTAACATTTTCTAGCAAGGGAAATCCTGAATTCCTACTTAAAACTGTAAACTATATTGTCTCTCCCAGCACTCCTCCCATCGATTCAAATCATATAATGACTGCAATAACTGACTTGATCATATTTCCTTCACCTGGATTAATAAATCTTCCTTACACCGTTTACAAACCACTCAAAATGCTGCTGCTAGGCTCCTAACATGTTCCAACAGATGGTCACACATTACTCCCATTTTAACCTCTCTACACTGGCTTCCTGTTAATTTTAGAATTCATTTAAAAATGTTGGTGCTCACTTATAGAGCTCTACATGGCCAGGCCCCACAGTATGTCAAGCATAGGTGCACATGTGTGTCTTATGTCTGCTCCTCTTGTATATTTTATCTTTGTTTAATTTATTTGATTTTATTTCTTGGGCTGTGAAGCACTTGGTGTATAAATAGACTTTGCTTGCTTGGGGATGATATCAAGCTAAAAGGCAAAAGGGTAAATTCCAAGGTAAAGCACGACTTCTTGGTCAAGTGGAAAGTCTGTTTTGATTATTATCTGTAGTTATCAGATTCATGAGTCGAGTTAAAGTCATGTGGCTGGAGTCCACACCTCTGTCTACTTTGCTGCTCAAAATGGCCTGTTTTCTGACTTCAGGTAGTATGTTGGCTTGGAAGCAGAACCCATTCTTTAGGACAGGTTTCTTTCATCAAATACAGTATTTCAGTCTAGTGAGCGTTTTAAAATCATTAAAGCAATCAGCGAAAATGTCCCCTCTTTTTTATTTAACATATCTCAAATATGACTTCAAATATTACATTTTCCTCAAAAGTACAATTTAGTACTTATTCTTTTAACATTTTCTATTCAGCCATTGGTGAGCAAACGTTTAATGATCTCAAAGAAAAAGACAAAAATAACAATGAAAATCAGTAGTGAAGGTGAAACATATTAGTTTGGCCACATGGTGGCAACATATGGTTGGGTTCAGTTGTCATCATCATCATCAAAGACATCAGCTACAGTCCTGTGGATGGAGAGACAAACAGAGGTTACAGACTAGTTCATAGCTGTTTGAACAGGATTCCGTTCACTATCACTATGACTTACTTGTAGATTGAGCCAGTAACTTCATCAAGAAAACCTCCTGAAGTAAAAAGACAAAGCAAGCGTGAGCTGGAGCTCTTGTCAACAAACAGCTAGGTTAAAAATTTCTCATCAGAGGTAGAATTGTTGCCTAATGGTGTCATATAACACTCTACAGTAGAAATCTAAGCACAACCATTTGATTGAACTGATCAGGTCGTTCCTTTTGGGATTAGAAAATTAGCAATGACACTAGATTGTGATTAATTTACATTCACTACATAGCCAGACTGGGTCTACTGTTCTGCTGTATAGGAAAGAAAATTCTCCACTTTGGTTAACAAACATTTAAGATTTTGTATTATTCCCGGTCCTGTTGGATCATCTTTAGTTCTTCTGTCTAACCTTCAGCCATCCGTGCATTTTGGGAGAACCTGCTTTCCTAAGAACTTGGAATCAAGTCCCAAAAAGCTTATTGTCGTATGACAGATTTCACCAGTTCAAATGAGCTACAGGAAACATTTGCATTTGTAATGTGGTATTATAAAAATATTTTTTTTCTCACTGGGACTGCTCTGCATTTACTCACCAGGCTGGCAAACAGTTTTGCAAATAGGACACACGTGGCAGAAACTGCACATCTGTGAACAAGACAGTAAGGAATGAATACAGACAAGTCAAGTCACAAATGTCAGTTCCATAGTATCACAAGAAGTCTAATCCGTTTGTCTGACCTGCTTCCTGCACAAAGTGGGTCAAACAGTGCCATACACTGCCATATGTTACTTCTTACAGCTACAAAAACATTTGCATATATGCTCATATGTTAGACCTATGAAAGCCAATTTCTGTCAAATATCAAATCAAATGTTGATCAAATGATCAAATGTAAGTATAGACAAAAAATAGTAAGTCAAAATTAAGTCAAAACTTTAATTTACTGTGTCAACCAAATGAGATTAGTTGATTCCAAAATTGACTTTCACATTTTAAAAAAGTCTACATTTTGACTTGTCAAGTTTGCCTTACTATCTTATAATCTTTACTTGCTATCATTATTATTTTTTGTCACTGCCTCTTTAGCTTTCCTTAATTAATCTTTTGGTAAAAGGGCTTAGTAAAATTTTAAAGATTAAGAAAGTATAAGATGCACCATAGGCAGCAAAAATGTCAGTGAAAGGCAGATGTTTAAATATTTAGGACATCAGTATCCAAAATTTGGATGACAATTGGAAACAGCAGGGAATGATGAAATATGATCTAGTTTTGTAAAGAAAGTAGTTTTCTCTAACTCTCCTCTAACTTTATCCCTGTATAAGTGATCATAACGTAGCTAAAATCTGACAGCTGTCCAAATCCAGTGATGTTTTCATGCTTTTATCTTGTATTGTTTTTTGTATTATTGTCTCTTGGGTATTATTGTCTTTACACTTGTTAACTTTGTAACTTGTTTTTGAAAAGTGTTCTACAAATAAGGATTATTATTATTATTATTATTATAGCATATTTACTAACTATCAGTGTCATGAGAAATGGCTCTTTTGCAGCTTCACAAAAACTCTACAGCAATAGACAATAAATAAATATCTCTCTGCATATTTTTAAACGTCTCAGAGCTTTTTGAATAAGTGACACTGTCAATCACTTATTGCAAAATTACAATAAATGGCTTTCATGATGTTGCTCTAAAATGACTTCTTGATTGTACAAAGGAGAGAGAACATTGTATCATGGTATCTGGAATAGAGTTTATTCATTGATTAATTAATTAATTATTCCTGTATTTTTTAACTTGTTATTAGAGCTTAATCTCAAAATCCAAAACACATTTTTGAGAATGATTAGCTTTGCTAAAAGATGCATCTCGTCTGCTCCTGACTTTTAATGTGAACCACACCTATTCATGTGATGTACACCTAATTCGTGACTTGTCCAGCAGTCTTCTTCTGACAATCACTCATATTCCACTAATCACTCTAAGGACTTTCATCCTACCTTAATCAATTCATTGAAATACAGAGGGCAGTTGCTTCTACATCAATCTACATCAATTAAGATTATTCAAAAAACATGTGAAAATGACTGTAGTGTATTAATTAATTATTCTTAGAATTACTATACATATATATATTTATTCATAGAGATTAATTTAGTTTAACCATTTGGTTAAAAATGTATGACACGACATATTAAAATCATTTGTGTTCATCAGTTTAATGTGCACATATGAAAAAACAAAGCTGATTAAGATTTTCCTTTGCTTTGGGGCTACAGAAGGGTATGGACTGACCAGATGTCAAATGTCACATAATGTGTATTACTCACCTTGCAGTCATCACAGTGTTCAGACTTGTCTCCCTCTTCACAAGGACATTTGTCACAGCTGTCACAGTGCTGGAAGGAGACACATTTAGTTAAAAAAAAATCTAAGGAGCAGGTCATCAGAGGGGGCAGGGTTGGAAAGGATTACACATAACAGAACCTACAGAGTGGACACATGTAGAGTGCAGGATTGCATCCATGTACTATTTCCATTTCAATACATAAATCAATCTTAGCTGTTTAATCTTTAGCACAGTAGGTTCACTACGATCACTACACATTGTGACCATTGCTCTCTCACAGAGCTTTGATAACTGCAGGTTACACAGGATGTTTAAATCTTTCAAATGTATTTTCAGACATACCTCACAGAATTCACAATATGCGCACACAGAGCCCTTGTGATAATCATCATCGTCGTCGTCGTCATCATCGTCATCATCGTCATCATCATCATCATCTGCACATAATATTTATAAAAAATATATGACTTTCGAACTTAACTATTTGAACAAATCTAACACTCAACAATGCTACATCAAATGCATGTTATACAATTGATAAAAGGTAAAGTCAGAGTAATTTGCCTGCTAACTATAGCTCACTGTCATTTTGGTGTAACTTAAGATTTTGACAGACAAATTTATAAAGCCAGAATGTAAAATAAATAGATCTTCAGTACTTGTATGTATGTACATTTAAACATTATTATTTTAATTGGCTGTTTTGCTGTCTTGTCGGACTTCAGCAGTGTAGCCGACCATTTCGCTACACTGCCTAACTCTCGCCACAAAAACAGCTTCTTCCTGTGTGCAGCTAGCCTCACTAACAAGGCCCAGGTCCCCCACTGTCACTCCCCCTTTCAAATAATGCAAATGTCTCTGCATGTGTAAATATTATTTCATATCATTCACAAACGTGGCACATTGCACATATTTGTTGTTAAATTTTGATCGCTGTTGTTCTATATTTTTATGTTTTGTCAATTTATACATTCATGTACACAATATTCTCTTCCATCTGCACAACACAAACCAGAGTAATGCACGTGTAAATATCTGCCACATTGTTCTTTCTCTGCAAATAGCTGTATTATTTTTCTCTATTGTTATATAACTTGCATTTGTTTATTCCATATTTATATATTTCTACATTTATTTATGTCAGCTGTATATTTGTCTACGTGTAGCACCTTATCACCAAAGCAAATTCCTCGTATGTGTAAAACACTACTTAGCAATGAAGCTCCTCCTGAACGTAACTTAGTTTCAGCTGCAGCAACAAGTACATTTGAGAATGGTTTGCCATTGAAAAAAGAACCCCCAAATTTGTGAAAGTCTGCATGAACGTGGAAAATCCAGTGCTAAAGTGAAGTGAAAATACCACTGCGACTACAACAAATTCAGATTTTTTTGGACTGGGGATGAGGAGAATCCCAAAATTGTGTTTTGTGCTTTGAATTGTTAGCTAACGAGGCTATTAAACCTGCTAAATTCAAGTGGCATTTGGAAACTAAACACAAGGAGTACATGGGGGAAACCTACTATGTTTTGAGAGAAAATACGATGAACTTAAGAAACACATGACAAACGGGAGCCACAGTTTTTTGCCCCTGGGGAAAATGCAAGGTCTACAGAGGTTTCATACACGGTTTAAAAGGTGAGAATTTAGTCAGACCAGCTGCGAAGGTTATGGCTAGAATATTGGTTGGAGGGAAAGCAAGAGATGAAATTAACAGGTTAATGCTGAGGCAGGAATTTTATTTCAGAAGCATTTTTGTTATGTTGAACTTCTTTTCCCATCCCAACAGCAATCAACACAGCAAATGCGCATGACACAAAAAAATAATAAATCTCTCTAATAAGCATGGCCAATCATTTCAATGCGGACCGAATGAAATCATTGGCTACCTACTTACTTGCGTGCACTCTGCCAGTGCACTCACTGTGCATGGATATATTTTGGGGGAATGACTTTGGAGGGAGGGCTGAAGGGAGGGGGGATTTTTTCAGCGGTATACTTTGAAAATGTAGCTGCCTCTTGTTTCTCCAGCATTGCCTACCCAAACTTTAAATGACACAGTACAGTAGAGAACAATATCTATGGCTGAAATTGTTAAAGATCAGCTGACATTTATCCCAAAGTTTTTCTCTCTCACTACAATTAGATGAGACAACTGATATTGGGTTTCAGGCAAATCTACTGTGTTTTGTAAGGTACAGTTATGCTCACGGAGGGCATGATGAATTTCTTTTCTGTTGTTCCCCAGTAACCAAGATATGTTAGGATTTGCTCAGATGGTGCAACTGCCTGACTGGAAAACAGAAGAGACTAGCAGTGCGTGCATGCCCAGTAGCACTATCTACCAGTGACTTGCAAAACTGGCATGCCTGGCTCATGTTTTCAGCACTTTCAGTGCAAAGAAAAGCCGTCACTGTCTTCAATGTCCGGGACAATTTAAAGCTGTATGCCTCAAGATGGAATTGTGGTGTTCCCATCTTGATCGTCAAGAATTTAATTGTTTGCTGACACTCACGGTGTTTCTCACTGCCAAAGGGGCAGCCAAGAGAAACTAGATGGCACCACAGTTGTAGCCTTCAAGAACCATCTGCAAGGCCTTCACTTACAATTGGGAAGATATTTCCCAGCTTTAAAGGTTCAGTGTGTAAGTTTTAGTGGCATCTAGTGGTGAGGGTTGCGAATTGTAACCAGCGACTCACAGTACACTCAGGTGCTCCTCGGATGGTTCCATTTCCTGAGTCGTGAAGTCGTTCTTCCGACTTCAGTTTGTGTTCATGTGCTCTTAAAGGTGCTGTAGAATGCTCATTTTCAGGATCATACTTGTATTTAGGGTTTCTACTTGAAAATGGTCACATGCTTTAATGTTCAAACAATACATCAGGGTTTTTCCTGGCTCAGAACGGGCCTTTGGGGGGTGACTTTGCATGACAGTAAGCATGATCGGTATTCCAGTATACCTTATGATCGGAATCTATGCATTACCTTGTTATTTCTGACCATTTGATAAACACCGCTGTGGTTAAGGTTTTATTAGGGCTAATGTTAGTGTATTCATTATATATATATATTATATAATCATAGTGTAGGCTACAATATAGCTTATCACTTGTATTATATTAATTCCAGTTGGACAAAACAGCAGTTTAATTTCTGTGGGCTGTTTTCAGTCATTAAAGGTAAAGTGTGTAAGATTTAGTGGCATCTAGCAGTCTAGCAGTGAGGTAGTGAATTGTAACCAACTGTCTAGTCTACCCCCCCCCTCAAAGAGTGTAGGATGGCTACGGTGGTTGTATATTATATTTGAAATTATATTATATATAATATCTGATTATATATTTGATTATATCTTTTCATGTGACAACACTAAAGAAATGACACTTTGCTCCAATGTAAAGTAGTGACTGCCCTCTCAAAAATTTTGCTGTCCTCTCAAAATAACACATCACACAGCCATTAAAGTCTAAACTGCAGGCAACAAAAGTGAGTACACCCCTAAGTGAAAATGTATAACGTGGGCCCAAAGTATCTATATTTTCTGTGGCCACCATTATTTTCCAGCACTGCCTTAACCCTCTTGGGCATAGAGTTCACCAGAACTTCACAGGTTGCCGCTGGAGTCCTCTTCCACTCCTCCATGACGACATCACGGAGCTGGTGGATGTTAGAGACCTTGTGCTCCAGACCTAAACCCTGGTTTAGGTCTGGAGCCAGTCCATCACACCTGAGACCATATAATACTAACGAGTCACATGACACCAGGGAGGGGAAATGACTAAGTGAACCCAATTTGGACATTTTCACATGGGGGAGTACTCACTTTTGTTGTCAGCGGCAATTACTTAATTAATGACTGTGTGATGTGTTATTTTGAGGGGACAGTAAATCTACACTGTTATACAAGCTGTACACTCACTACTTTACATTGTAGCAAAGTGTCATTTCTTTAGTGTTGTCACATGAAAAGATATAATCAAATATTTACAAAATGTGTGGGGTGTACTCACTTTTGTGAGATACTGTATTAAGAAATGAAGTTTACTAAATTATTCAGCAAAACCATATGTTGTTGCAGCTTGGCCACTGACAGATAATTTGGAAAATATAAGCCAAGAGTGTGTAACATTGTCATTGTTTCTGCACCACAGTCCATTATAAACCACATAATAAATGAAGTTTATACAAACATTGACAAGGGAAACACATTAATTCTCTCTGTGATTATGGACCCCCGCCAAAACTGCCAGCCAGCAATAATATCTGGTCAGATTATGGTGCTTTGATAGCGGCCAAAACTTAAAATTAATAAATACTTTGATAGTGGTGCTGAAATAGATCTCAGTCATGACAGCAACAGTTACTCACATAATCTCACTCACTCAATAATTTCCTCTTTAGTGGTTTTGTCTGCAAAATAAAAGCACAAGAACGTTTTTTTCGCAGCAATGCTAAATTTCGAGTTGAATAGAGAGCTTGTACTTTCAAAAATTTCTGAACGACATTATTGATGATTATGATTCCCTAATTGTCCTCTGCCTGGAGATACTGGGGAAATGAAAAAGCGTCCGTAGGT